GTTTAATACAAATTAGCATTTTATCTTTGTCAGTTTGAAATAATTTAACATATTAAAGACTAAGCAAGTTAATTTTTAGGAAAATACTATCATATATATATATATATATGTATGTATACCGATCAGGTGTAACATTATGACCACCTCCTTGTTTCTATGCTCATTGTCCAGTTTATCAGCTGGATCATTCTCAATGCTGCAGTAACACTGATGTGGTGGTGGTGTGTTAGTGTGTGTTGTGCTGGTACGAGTGGATCAGACACAGCAGTGCTGCTGGAGTTTTTAAACACTGTGTCCACTCACTGTCCACTCTGTTAGACACTCCTACCTTGTCAGTCCACCTTGTAGATGTAAAGTCAGAGACGATAGCTCATCTGCTGCTGCACAGTTTGTGTTGGTCATCCTCTAGTCCTTCTGGATATTTTTGGTTGGTGGACTATTCTCAGTCCAGCAGTGACACTGAGGTGTTTAAAAACTCCAGCAGCACTGCTGTGTCTGATCCACTCAGACCAGCACAACACACACTAACACACCACCACCACGTCAGTGTTACTGCAGTGCTGAGAATGACCCACCACCCAAATAGTACCTGCTCTGTGAGGGTCCATGGGGGTCCTGACCACTGAAGAACAGGGTAAAAGGGGGCTAACAAAGTATCAGAGAAACAGATGGACTACAGTCTGTAACTGTAGAACTACAAAGTGCACCTATATAGTAAGTGGAGCTGATAAAATGGACAATGAGCGTAGAAACAAGGAGGTGGTCATAATGTTATGTCTGATATATATATATATATATATATATATATATATATATATATATATATATCTCAGGAATAAAACTAGTACTCTTTATGCCTTTCAACTCCTTGCCCCCAAAATTCATGCTGCGTAAGCTGCAGTGCCTGAATGCTTGATTGTAATCGACTGTCTCAGATAAAATGATGACACAAAAGGACATCAACACAGCTAATTACTTAACCAACATAAGCTAGCATACAAGCAAGCAGAAAGACCGGTCTGGACTGCAGGCCGGCCAGTGCAGCATCCAACCTCTCTAACACATGCAGAATGAGGCTTGCCATTGTCATGTTGATAGATGTTGGAACTTTGTTGTGAGAATTTCATTGCATCCTGCCACAACACCATTAAGGAGGGACTGATGTTAGATAATTATAACAAAGTTCTACATTTACAGCCTGATGCTGAGTATTATCCTTAGCTGATGTTGCTCATGTGTGGCTATTCTTTAGGCAATGCTTTTTATGGAGATTATACAAGCTGTGTGTGCTCAGCTGAATGCCTGTGTCAGCAATAGGTGCACCTTAAAATAGCTGAATTCACTACTTAGAGGCGTGTCTGGGTACTTTTGACCATATAGTGTAGGTTTGTAGCTCACTAATTATGAGCCTGCCCTCTTAGAAAAGATGTTCTTCAAGGGTTGTTCAGTAAAGAAAATAGTTCTATATCCAATCTGAAGAACCCTTTGCATCATGAAAGTGTTCTTCAGATTGGTGGAAAATGTGCATGAATGTGCTATAGATGGTTCTACCTTTTTGAACAGGGTTCTCTATAGCACCCAAAAGGGTGCAAGTCTGACATTGTAACAATTGAAGAACATTTGGGTTGCTATTTTCGATTGTTTTCAAAAAGGTTCTATATAGAACCGTCTATAGAACATTCTCCATCAATCTGAAGAACGCTTTCATTATGCAAAGAACCCCTTAATTAAGGGTTCTTTGTGTGTTCATGGTTGTATGTAGAAGCATTTACTTTACTAATAAACCCTTAAAGAACCATCTCTTTTAAGATTGTGTAAACAAACATTCAGACCTAAAAAGTCACTGAAACCTTTAACAATATTTTGGAAAAGAAAATTGTCAAATGATTATTTAGGCTAAATCCGCTCGTCACACTGAAGAAGAACCTTTGCTGAACATAAAGGTGATTATTACAAAATATAGTATCACTAAATTGCTGTTTTATGTTGAAGTTTAAATCTAATTTTTGTTACTTAGGTTCAAAGTAACAGTGAGAAACTTAATGTCATTAGAATGCAAGGTGTTCCCACACTTTTGATTTATTGCTGATTAGCCGGGAAAAAAGAACTGCCTAATTGAATGTAGTTGTAAGTTTTTGTTTACGTCAGTTCTGTAGGCAGTAGTGCCTCCTTTGTGAGAGTTTCTATGTTTCTAATGTCAGCCTGCTGGAGTGAGCAGTGCAGTGTTGTAAACGGCCGTCAGAGTGAGGGTTTTTATACTGACAAAGTGTTAGAAACTCTTGCAGGCAGGAAGAGGACTTCAGCAAGTTCCCCCCGGGGAGTTCTCTTTGAGGCAAGGCTCTGAAAAGCCTTGAGCTGGTCTTCTTCTGAAATCAGCTCTGCTTGATTACTTGCCGGACGCCTCCCTTCTCCCTGACCATCAGAAAAGTCAGAGACATCCCAGAGACGCAGCGAGCTCAGAACATCACTAGGCTTTCTGTTATAATCTAAAAAGAGTCGACTCATGCATAAAAAAGGTAGTTTTGCACAGGAAGACTTCAAACTTGGCAAATGAATTCTGCCGTAACTTTCTCTCAACCCACTATTCATCCCTGCTCTGCCCACAAATGCGTTGCAAGCTGTTGCACGGTTGGATAGGGTTTATATAACACTGGCAAAGATCCCATTCAACCTACTTTGTTTGTTGCCGGACACTGAGTTTCCATTTTAAAAAATGCTGCGCAACTGAGCTGAACAAAAGCAATTTGCCATCATGCTAACGTTAGTAATGATTACACAGTAAACAACTACAACCTGGTTTCCAAAAAAGTTGGGACGCTGTGCAAAATGTAACTAAAAATAGGTGCAATGATGTGCAAATCATGTTAACCCTATATTTAATTAAAAATACTACAAAGACAACATATCAAATGTTGAAACTGAGAAATGTTATTGCATTTCGAAAAGTATACGCCTATTTTGAAAAATATACATATATAAATATATATTTTGAATTTGATGCCAGCAACATGTTCCAAAAAAGTTGGGACGGGGGCCTGTTTACCACTGTGTTACATCACCTCTTCTTTTATCAACACTCTGTAAGCGTTTGGGAACTGAGGAGACACTGCTGTAGTTTAGAAAGTGAAATGTTTCTCCGTTCTTGCTTGATACAGGATTTCAGCTGATCATCAGTTCAGGGGCTCCTTTGTCATATTTTTCATTTCATAATTCGGCAAATGTTTTCAGTGGTGACAGGTCTGGACTGCAGGCAGGCCAGTTTAGCATCCGGACTCTTTTAATACGGAGCAATGCTGCTGTAATACATGCAGAATGTGGTTTGACACTGTCTTGCTGAAATAATCAAGGCCTTCCCTGAAAAAGACGTCGTCTGGATGGCAGCGTATGTCGTCACTACCTGTATATACCATTCAGCATTAATGGTGCCTTCACAGATGTGCATGTCACTCATGCCATGTTAATTAATGCACCCCTATACCATCATGAATACTGGCTTTTGAACTGTGTGCTGATAACAAGTCATGTGGTCTTTAGCCCGGAGGACACAGTGTCCACGATTTCCAAAAAGAATTTCAAATGTTGATTCGTCGGACCACAGGACACTTTTCCACTTCGCCTCCATCCATTTTAAATGAGCTCAGGCCCAGAGAAGGCGGCAGCGTTTCTAGATCCTGTTTATATGTGGTTCCTTCTCTGCATGGTAGAGTTTTAACTTGCATTTGTGGATGCAGCGACAAGCTGTGTTCATAGACAGTGGCTTTCAGAAATGTTCCTGAGCCCATGCAGTGCCTGAGGGCCCAAAGATCACAGCTAGCCAAAATTGGTTTTTAACCTTGTCCCTTGCATACAGAAATTTCTCTGAATTCTATGATTCTTTTAATGATATTGAGTGGTGAACTCCTTCCCGTCTTTACTTCTGAAAGACTCTCTGGGATGCTTTACTGACAGGTGTTTTTTTTTTTATTATTGTTACACAATTTTACCAGTCTTTTGTTGTCCTGTCCCGGAATCTCTCGGTTTCAACATTTGATATGTTCTGTTTGTCTATCATCAATTCAATATAGGGTTTAAGTGATTTGCACATCATTGCATCCTGTTTTTATTTACATTTTGCACAGCGTCCCAACTATTTTTCAGAGACAGGGTTGTACACCTGATCTATTCTAACTGGAGCTTATCTATTCAAACCTGCATAAACCCACAAAATAAATAACATTTGGAATATTCATATGAAATACAACCATTTATAACATTTGGGACACTTTAAATTTACATTATGTGCTATAATAAGTAAAGTGAAAGGAAGTTTTGCTGACATTCTGCAGAAAAAGGCATAATTGAGGAATAAGCCTGGATAGGATGGTTAGCAAGGATTTCAAAGTAGAGTTTAGTATCTTTTTAAGCTACATGGTTCACTGGAACTGTCTCAGGCCTCTGAGAATCAATTTCTGTATTCACGGAACCCGTTTGTGGATGAAAAGCTGTTTGGGTGAAGGTAATAAGTGAAGCTTTTTTTTGTGAGCTCCAGCTTTACACACAGGTCATTCCCACAAGTGTCCACACACAGAGCCACTGCAGTGGACCCGGCCACCCGGAGACAGCATGTCAGAGCGTTGTCATGGAAACCCATGTTCACGGTTCTGTTGGAGGTGGCTCAGGAGCTGATAGGGATTACTGGTGTTGCTAGTTAGGGCTTCCTTAAAGACACACAGGCTTTTGGTATCAAGTTGTTTTGTTTGCTCGGGTCTGCTGGGTGTGTGTGAACAAAGTGGGTGAACAAACATAAGCAGAAACAAAGCAATGCAAAGCATCATGCTGCAGAATTATAGGGATGAAAATAGACATTTGATAAGCTTGTGCTTTCAACTACTACTGTATTTGTTTATTTTTGTTATGAAATTTCATTTTACGAAGGATGCTTGTTTGTTTTTAGCTTGAGTTTTACTGTGCTGTGAGGTTCTCACCCTGTTAAAATCTGTTTTTTCTCCGCTTTCTTTCAGCTCCTGTGTTTTACTTTGGTGATCAGGAGTACCATGTGGACGAGAGCGATGGTCACATCGAGGTGAAAGTGTGGCGATCGGGAACGGATCTCTCAAAACCAGCCACAGTGACCGTTAGATCCCGCAAGACTGACCCGGTGTCGGCTGAAGGTAAGGACGTCCACAGCTGTTTCCTGCAGTGTTATGCAATGCTGAGCCTGAGCTTTTCAGCAGGCTGCCTCATCCTTTCTCTACACCAGCAAAGGGATCTCGCATGTTGAGCATGTTCTGGGAGATTGAAGATTAAATGAAGAAATCACTCTTGTATGTTGTTGTTCTTATATGGTGAGAATATGTGTTTTATAGCTTGAAGCTACAGATTTTCATATACTCTGTAAATCATCTCTATTGTTTAATTTATAGTTGGAAAATATATTCTGAACTTTAATGCATGTTAATATAACAAGCTTTTATTCCAATTTTAGACCATTGATAAAATGTCCAAGCAGTGTAAAAGGTAGTCGACATTTTAAAATGTTAAAAAAACCTGAAAATAACAGAGCTGTGAGGTTTAGGTTTGAGCAATAAAATAGAAGCTTTTAACTGTTTGATATCAGCAATAGAAACATTAAAGGAAAATCATACAAGAACATAAAAGCAGCAAGAATATGGTAAAATAACATAAAAAGAAACAGACACTGATCAGGCATAACATTATGACCACCTCCTTGTCCATTTTATCAGCTCCACTTACTATATAGGTGCACTTTGTAGTTCTACAGTTACAGACTGTAGTCCATCTGTTTCTCTGCATTTGTTAGCCCCCTTTTACCCTGTTCTTCAGTGGTCAGGACCCCCATGGACCCTCACAGAGCAGGTACTATTTGGGTGGTGGCTCATTCTCAGCACTGCAGTAACACTGGTGTGTTAGTGTGTGTTGCGCTGGTATGAGTGGATCAGACACAGCAGTGCTGCTGGAGTTTTTAACCACTGTGTCCACTCACTGTCCACTCTATTAGACACTCCTACCTTGTCAGTCCACCTTGTAGATGTAAAGTCAGAGACGATAGCTCATCTGCTGCTGCACAGTTTGTGTTGGTCATCCTCTAGTCCTTCATCAGTGGTCACAGGACGCTGCCCACAGGACGCTGTTGGCTGGATATTTTTGGTTGGTGGACTATTCTCAGTCCAGCAGTGACACTGAGGTGTTTAAAAACTCCAGCAGCACTGCTGTGTCTGATCCACTCAGACCAGCGCAACACACACTAACACACCACCACCATATCAGTGTTACTGCAGTGCTGAGAATGATCCACCACCCAAATAGTACCTGCTCCGTGAGGGTCCATGGGGGTCCTGACCACTGAAGAACAAAAAAAAAAGCAATAATTAAAGGCAAAAAGGGTAATAGAAATAACACTAATAAAAGTGAAATCAAATCAACAATAATAACAATGACAAAAAAAGGAAAAAAAAAAATAGTAGCAATAATAACAATGATAAAAATATTTAAAAAATAGTAGCAATAATAGTAACAATAAAAGTAAGTAAAAACAAGGAATTTATATAAAACAGTTTGTAAGAATCTTTAACTGCTTCTTAAACTTGCATGCTTTGTTCTGATTTGGTAGATCGTTCCATCTTTTGGGTGAATAATTTTGCCTCATTACATCTTTTCATGTTAAAGGTCCTGTGTCCTCAATTTTTCATGATTTTTTTTCCCTGACTTCCTCTCTTGATGCTTCTATGGGTTTATGTACCAAAAAGGGTCATAATTCTTTTTTACATGTCTACTTTACAACTTTTCTACATCCCTTAGAAACTGGTTTTTATTTCTGTGCCTTTAAGAGAGAGATCTGTTCTGAGTCTGTGCTGATTGGCTGTTTTGTATTGTCCTTCATTCAAAAAATAGTCTGGGCTGAATCACTGCTTATGAGTTCAATGTGAGTGGGCGGGGCTAAACTGTGATAGGCTGAATAGGTGAATATATATGAAATGTATTGATATTCATGACATCAGAAAAACAAATGCAAAATGGGCAGTTTTGCAGCTTAGTAAGCATTTATGGACAGTGATTATGTGTTCTGAAGCTTTAACAATGTCTGTATCGCTGCTGTCGGAAGAAAAACTTGTTTCTCCATTTTTGTCGTTTTTCAGTTTTTGACACATTTGAAAATGCCTGCTGTCCTTTACATTGTCTGTAAATTTCATGATGAATGGACTAAAAGAAACGACCCAGAATGACTTGTAAAAAAGTCTGGTTCCATTGACTTACATTAAAAGTAAAGTAGGTTTTTCTCTTCTCCTGTAAAGTTACCATTTTGGAGATTTGAGGTTTCCTTCCGACATCATTGATATTGTACATAAAACTGTTTCAAAAAGTGAGAAAGAATTTTTTTGGTGATATGAACCCTTTCACTTTTGGTACATTAAGCAAGCCTCAGTCTGGCTACACAGAAAAAGACAGTTCATAATATCTCATGGTGCTACTCCATTTAATACGACGGCATTTTAGGGCCACTGTTAATAAAAATAGTAGACTTCGAGAGTAAAATCGCAATACTTCGAGAAAAAAAGTCGTAATATTTGGAGGATAAAGTGGGCTAACTGTAGGGGGGCTAACTGTAGGGGGGGCGCCATAACGCGTTGGGGTCTTGGTTGCTGTACTGGCGCCGGAGCTCCACTCTCTCCTGTCTCTCTGTGGATCATTATTCTCACTGTCTGTGAAACTTCATGCCCTCTTTGAATGGGGGGAGATGGAGCCCCCGATAGCCATGTAGACGACCCTGCCTGAGATTCTCCTTCAACAACACAGACAGACAGTTTCCTCCGAGTCCGCCTGGCTCTTTATTCTAGATAAACACAGTTTAATATTACTTTTTTTTAAAATAGTAAGACTTTTTTCTCAAAATATTACGACCTTTTCTCGAAATATTACGGATTTATTCTTGAAATATCATATTGTACAACTTTCTTTTTTAAATATTACAACTTTTTTCTTGAAATATTACGACTTTATTCTCAAAGTCTACTATTTTTATTTTTATTAACAGTGGCCCTAAAACGCTGTCGTAGTTTAATGCTTCAAAAACCAGTCGCAGTACTTTAAAATCTGTCCTAATGACGATTTTAAGTACATTTATGAAGGAGCCTATAAATGAAGTCATAAACAGATTTACAAAGTAAGTTGGCAGCCACTTTAATGGCTGTAATGAACAAATCTGACCGTGTGCCACAGTTTAGAACCTCTTCTGATTATCTGGACTTTTTGTCTTTAGATAAAGCTCGTGGTTGTTTGCGCGATGGCTGTGTGTACACAGTATCATCCACTGTCAGCTGGATCAAGTGATCTTTAGACTTTGATGTTTAGTCTGATGTTAAAAGATATAAATATGCAGAAAAACATGCAGTAAGATGCTTCAAATATTCCATCAAATATGTAAAAATGTTGATGCGTCTTGAAACGTTAGGCGAGGACAGAAGGTGCAAAGGTTTAGTGTGAAGGCCTCTTCAGTGAAAAACCTGGAAGCAAAGATAGGCTGAATCTTTAGTAGCTGAAAAAGTCTCCTCCATCTCCTCCCACACGTTTTCCGCTGCCCTGCCGAGGAGAGCTGAGAGCTTCGCGCAGCACCTTGGCTTCTGAGCCCTTAAAAAAGCAGCTACAGCACTCTCTCTCTCTCTCTGAAAGCAGATTATGCTACAAGGATAAATTCAATGCTTTTTGGTGATAAATATAGCTTGACCTGTCTCTCACCTCATCCTGGAACCATTTATCTATCCCCCAGCCGGAGTGGACTACGTGGGCATCAGCAAGAATCTGGAGTTCGCCCCAGGGGTGACCGTACAGACCGTCCGGGTCACCATCCTCGATGACCTTGGCCAGCCGGTCCTGGAAGGAATAGAGAGATTTGAGCTGGTTCTTCGCATGCCCTCCAACGGCATTCTGGGAGAGCCAGGGAGGGCCATCATCTTTATCAACGACTCCGTCTCTGACTGTTAGTGTGCATTATCAGAATTGGAAAAGCTGGTTTCTGAGTTCTCACATACACACTGTTACACAGACGGCCATTTGCATAGAGTGTAACATAAAGCAGCCAAATAAGGAGTATTAACTTATAAAACATACATTTTTGGAGTTCAGATTTATGCTTCAGATGTCAGGCCAGTCAGAATAAGATATATAAGAATATTGCATGTGATTTTTAAGAGCATAGACTTCAAAAATTAAATAGTTTGGAAAAATCAGTAAGTTTAAAGTGATAGTTTAGAGAAAGAAACAAATACTGCTACATATGAAACTGGGTGGAAGACATTGGCCCTTATTTATCAAAGTTGCGTGAAAAAGATTGCAGATTTTAATGCTTCTAATGATGCACAAACTACTGTGTGTGTCTGATTCACGAAACTTTCCCAGAACATTTAAACAAGCAGAGGTTTGAACACAAATGATGAAACAAATTCAGGGCATGAAATTAAGCTCCAGCCTACCAGCACCTCAATTATGCAGATGTTTTGGTGAGGAGCCAATAAAACAAAAGCATTCAATGGCTCATGAGCCACTGGCTGTGCTCGTAGGCCAATGTTTATAGCACTAAAAATAAAAAATAATAAAATAAATAAACAAAACGTCCCTTTTTTAAGGGTTTAGAATGAATTGATTGTGTAGTGTGATTTTTCTCTTAAAATTTTAATTTTAATTTTAATAACATATTTAAACAGTGTGTTATTGCAGGATATGAGTTGCTTCTGCACTTGCTGGGTTTTGTATTGTTGATTTTTGGGCAGTGTCAGTAGCATCAAACCGAAGCACAGTGTAATATGTCTTTAAATGGAACCTGGAATAGTTGCTGCATTTGCTTATACCAAAGTCCACTTCTGTACTTGGTATTTTTCTGGATTGCTGTGCATCAAATGATTAGTATTATTGTTATTATTTTCTGTTATTGTCTATTTTATATTTATTGGTAACATAAATACTATTTACACTAGTTTTGGTTAGTTAACTGCAAACCACACATCTTTTTCAGGTTGTTAAACTATTAGACTCATATTTACACACAAACCTACCAGACGTGAGTTTGATCATACAGATCGCAAAAGAAATTGATGAATAACAAAACTTACACAATAACAAAAAAGTATGCAACTTTGATTGTCCAGGGGCCATTGTCCAGCTAAAAACTTTAGTGTGACCTGTCCTGAAGCTTTGAAGCTGGAATTTTGTCCATTTTTATAGGAATCAATATGTCATACATTATCAGAAACCACAAAAACAAAGCTTCCACTACTTGTTAGATACTTTAGCCGTGAAAAAGCAAACTTTAGAGACCTGTAAGTTTTGGCTGACTGACTCTGGGGTAAGGGGGGAATTGTATACATTTGCCAGACTTATTATTTAGGTGCTTATACTTAAACCACAGCCATGTCCACTTTACTCTCAAGTGCTGTGAACTGGATAATTTCATATCTCCTTAATTGTCTCAGTGAATGAGATCAATGTCATATTATAGCCAAGCATCTTTACGCTGATCTAGGATTTCTCTGAATGTCTTTCTCTGATGCTGCAGTGCCAAAGGTGCAGTTCAAACAGGCTGTTCTGGTTGGAGAGGAGAGTGAAGGCCGCCTCACTGCTGTGGTCCAACGTGGTGGTGACATCAGTCACAGGTCCAGCGTGCGATGTTATACACGCCAGGGGTCCGCCCAGGTGGCCAGCGACTTTGACGAGAGGCCCAACACTGATGCCTCCATCATTACCTTCTTACCAGGTAAAGCTTGCGGTCAGGTTGTCATACATTCCCCGTCCAGCGTAACTTTTTTTGCTGCAGTAACAGCCTCGACTCTTCTGGGAAGACTTTACAGTAGGTGTTGGAATGTTGCTGAGAGGATTTGATTGCACTCAGCCACAAGAGCATTAGTGAGTTTAGGTACTGATGTTGGATGATTAGATCACAAACTCCACTCCAACTCACCCAAAAGGTGTTGGATGGAGATCCATCACTTCAAAGAACACAGTTCCGGGGGGAGCCTATCCCAGCAATCACTGGGCAGAAGGCAAGAAACACCCTGAACAGGTCGCCAGACCATCATAGGGCAGACACATAGACATTCACACACACACACACACACACACACCCACCTAGGGGCAATTTAGTGTGTCCAGTTAGCCTGACTGCATGTCTTTGGACTGTGGGACGAAACCCATGCAGACAGAGGGAGAACATACAGACTCCACAGAGAAAGGACCCTGGTCACCCAGCCAGGGAATCCAGGCCCTTCATGCTGTGAGGTGAGAGGTACCCACTGTGCTATAATCTGACCAAGGGTGTTGGATCTTTTGCATATGACAGTATGTTTTATTTTTTCAAGAAATAACATACAACAATATGTGCATTGATGTAGAACAAAAGAGTTTTGACTAAATGTCTGTAAGAAAACTGTCTGTGGTTAAAACTGTATAAGTGGGTTTTAACAAAACATTTGTTCTTAAGAACGGTCAGGTGAACGAGGCCCAATGTTGATGGGATGTTGATTTTTTAATCACTGCTTGCTTCTATACTGTTGTCCTGCAATGTATGTACCAGATATGCGTATGAAAAATAATCCGCAGCTGAAAGGTAAAAGAAAGAAAACAGTGATCTGATGGTTTGACAATAAGACCACTGAGCATAAATACTACGAACTGCAGCAGTCCAGTAGGTCAGTGCATGTTGAAGACGTTCGAAAGGTCATGTTTGTGTATGTGAAATCCCTCTCTCTGGTCGTCTCTAGGTGAGACGGAGAAGCCGTGTGTGTTGACTCTGGTGGATGATTTGGCGTATGAGGAGGAGGAGGAGATGAGGCTGGTGCTGGGGAGCGCGAAGAGTGACTCCGTATACGGAGCGTCTGTAGGCCGGCAGAATGAAACACTCATCAAGATTAAAGACACCGCAGACAGTAAGAGAGAAACAAACAACTCTGTTCTCTTTTAATCTTATTTCTTTTCGTTCTACGCTGCTCATCACCTTTCCTCCTTTTCAGATTCCTCACATGTCCTCACTGGTACTTTTTAGTGGAGTAAGCCTAATACTTCGGGTTATACTCTGCAGCACTTACTTTCATCCTTAGTATGAAGAGTAGGTTTCGTTTACTTCTTTTCTAAATTATTGTCAAAAGCTCATATTGAAACTTAAGATCCAAAGACGGTTTGTATAACTGAGAAGTGTTGATGATCAGTAGCATCTCTGGCACAGAAAGCCTGGAGGGGCACAATAAACTGTAGGGGCAGCAGCGACTCATCAACGAAACTACACACAAACCTGATCCAAACACAAACACACTCCATCAGTGAAATCATAAACTCACACTTTACCATAACGGTGCAGGAGTGGAAGTGGAGACGGAATATGAGTGATATGATGACGACATTAGATCTCACAGAACCTGGTTATACAGCATCGCATTACAAATCCACTGTTATCTATCAGTGACGATCACTGTGATCTGCAAATACACATCCAAATCAACATATCAGAGCAGGGAAACACATCCAGGCTTTAGGAATAACAAACCCTGTAATAATGCAGCGTGACTCATCGTGACGATCACTGCTCGAAAAGAAAAGATGCACGACGATCCTTCATCTGGGAAAACTCGTCAAAAACTTTTCTCTCAAAGTCCAACAACCCCTGAATGAATTCAAGTGAATACGTCTGGACGTATGTAAATGGCTGCTCTCAGCATGGGGCCAACATGATCGGCCCCACAGCTGGTTATTGAAAGCGTGTTGAACAAGCGCAGAGTGTTGTTTAACTGCTCACTTGGTCAGATGAACACTGATGGGCCCCACGCTCACCAAACCAAGACTGCTAGGAGAAATAGGTCGCCTACTGGCATTTACACAACAGGTACAGGAAGATATTTGGAATGTGTCGGACAGACCTACCACTGTCGTATGTAATAACAATGTTAGTTACGAATAAAAAATATATATGTTAGTTGTTATACTGAATTATCGATCATGTCGTCACTGCTCCACAGAGACATGTGGTGTGGCCAGGCCCCACCGGCCCCTAATGTAGACACGCCGCTGTTGATTAGAGCTGACAACACAACATGGGGGTAAAATGTCCAGGATATGTCACGATATCTAAGATAGTACTGCCACAAATGTTTACCTGATATTTATCCAGTTATTCTCCAGGGTATATTTTGGTTTTTCCATCTGAATTCATGCCCAAAACCGGAGGCAAATTATTCAGTAACTGTATGAATCAGATGTGAAGTGCTGCTGTTTTTTTTGTAAAAGCTCCCCTCAAATTAACAGAAAATGTGTTTTGTAAACATAATGTCATATTCTCACAATTTAGTGCTGAAAGCCAAAAATCTTAGACACTCTTTTTCTTACAGTGCAGATCACTGAAGAGACGGCATCTGTTTATAGTTTGTAGCTCAGATTTGTGGAAAAATGGGTCGACTTTCAGTAGAAAAAAAAAATGTGAGTTCAGCTTCTTTTATTATAAGGGGTTAAAATTACATCACCCATCTATTTGACTGGAAAGAAGACAGTGACAGCTCTCATACGACCCCCACCTTTAGAATGTAGCTTATGAAATATAAAAGTTATAAAGTAAAGAATATGACAAAGTGTGTTTTGGAACCACCGGTGCAGTTAAAGAGGTTATCTAATATCATTTTCATGTAAATATGTCTGCAGAAAATGGCCATTAAATTGAAACATTGACAAAATTTTATTGAAAAGTTGGATGTTACCAAACTTTTGATGGGCAGTCAAGAAGATGGCAACACTTTACTGTAGGGTGCTGTTCATAAGGCGACATGACACCTACAAAAGATTGTCATTACAACTGAAATAACCCTATATAACAGTTTAAAAATGCTTATTACAACAGACGTCATCTGTCATAAAGCTACTTTAGCTGACTTTGATCAAAATTGGCAAATGTAACCTTTATAGCGAATGACGCTTATTGGAACAAGCATTTATAAACAGTTACGTAGGGTCATGTCAGTTGTCATGATAAGCTTATGTAGGTGTCATGTTGCCTTATGAACAGCACCCTACAGTAAAGTATTACCGAAAAATTTTTCAGTAAGTGCACATTTGCACGTATTACCACCTGGAAGGACTTTTATTTCTGCATAGTCAACATCATCATCATCATTAACCGCTTAGTCCAGACAGGGTCACAGTAGCAGTTGGGAGAGCAGAGAATCCCAGACGACCCTGTCCCCCGCACCTTCCTCCAGCTCATTCCCGGGGACCCCAAGCCGATCCCTGGCCAGCTTGGAGGTATAAGCACATCTGGGGTCTCATCCCAGTAGGCCGTGCCTGGTACACCCCCACCGGGAGGTGTCCAGCAGGCATCCGGATTAGATGCCCGAACCACCACAAGTGGGTCTTCTCAATGTGGAGGAGTAGCGGCTCTACTCTGAGCTCCTCCCGGATGACCGAGCTCCTCCCCCTGTCATGTAGAGTGCAGCCCACCACCCTGCGGAGAAACCTCATTTCTGCCGCTTGTATTCGCGATCTCATTCTTTCAGTCATTACCCACAGCTCCTGACCACAGGTGAGGGTCGGGTTGTAGGCCGACCGACCACTACAGTCCGGTACCATGACCACATAACAGCTGCCGCCTGTCTCAGCCTGCGGCCGATCTCACCATCCCTCTTCCCATCACTCGTCAACAAGACCCCGAGATACTTAAACCCCTCCACCTGGGGCAGCTCCTCTCCCCTTACCTGGAGTGGGCATGCCATCCTGCATAGTGCTTGGTTTTATTTTAATGTAATTTAATGCATTTACACAAAACTGATGCACACAGTGTAAACAGGGACTTATTAACTCTCACTCTGTTCTTCTTTTCAGAACCGATCATAAAATTCGCCGAGGTGAAGTTCAGTGTAAGTGAGCCGAAGGAGTCGGGTCAGGTCAGCGTGGTGAGGATCCCCGTGCGGCGAGTGGGAGACCCCTCGATGGTGTCTGTGGTGAGAGTCCACACTAAAGACGGCTCCGCTGTATCTGGAGAGGACTACCATCCCATCTCTCAGGGTGAGGACCCTCACAGAACAGAGTGCAGTGCAGATGCTCAGCGTTCTTCAGTTTTATATGTAGTTGGACTAAGAAATTGCTAGAGCTTTAAAGCTGAGCATTTCTAAAGGGTCTTTGAACCCAAATGGATTTTACTTATTCATGTTTCTTCTATTGTACATTTGATATTACATTCATACCCACAGTGAAGCAATAATGCATCGAATTTACTTGATTTAATGTGTCCACAATTTCCACATGAATGAAATATGCTACAATACTTTATGAGTTTAATTGCTTTTGGAAATAACTGTAATATTATATATTTAAGTAAAGTCAGTGCAGTTTAAACACTAAGACATATACCGATTGTGGCGTATGTGTGTATGCTTACAGACGTTGAATTTAAGGAGGGTGAAAGGGAGCATGTTGTGGAGGTCGAGGTTCTGTTCGATGGAGTTAGAGAGATGAGAGAGGCGTTCACTGTCCACCTCAAACCTGACGAGAACATGGTGGCCGAGACCCAGGTACAGTAGCCTTTCTGTTTTATGTTAATGAAACTCGTTGCTTATCTTGTACAGGGGTATTCAGCTAAAACCTAAGAAGGTCCTGTTACATCTTCTTGCTTACGAAGGTCTGGACAGATATAAACATAAGTGAAAAGTGACAACACCCAACTTTAAATGCATTACCATTAATGATTAGCCCAGCTAATACAATAAAATAAGGCACAAATCATATCAGATCAAATATATTTTGAGAAACCGTTTTATTTTAAACATACTTTCATTTTAAAACTGCATGGCCATTGTCCAAAAAGGCAGAAAATATATTTGAAAGAAAAAATTTAAATATTTTTTTAAACATTTCTCTATAGAATACATAAGATATAATACAATAAATTAATTAAAAATAAAAATCAATTTCATTTTATGCTCTTGCGCTGTCAGGCAATGTATCAGAACTGAATTTAGTCTGTAGGTTAATTCTAAGTGATTGTTTAGTTTCACAGTGGTGCTGATGCTTAACTTTTCCACTGCTGACTGGCGGCCCACGCTCTGATAAAACATGACAGTTTTACATACATACATAATCTAAACCGCTTATCCTTCTGGGTCGCGGTGGGGTGCTGGAGCCTATCCCAGCCGTCATTGGGCAGAAGGCAGGATACACCCTGGACAGATCGCCAGTCCATCGCAGGGCAGACAGACAGACATACACATTCACACCTAGGGTCAATTCAGCATGTCCAATCAGCCTGACTGCATGTTTTTGGACTGTGGGAGGAAACCGGAGTACCCGGAGGAAACCCACGCAGACACGGGGAGAACAGGCAAACTCCACACAGAAATGACCCTGGTCACCGAACCCAGGCCATTCTTGCTGTGAGGCAACAGCGCTACCCACTGCACCACCGTGCCGCCCACATGACAGTTTTGAACTTGAAAAATACAGTTTTCTGTTCTTTTTTTTTAAAGCCATGTTGATGTTTCACTACTCAGACCATAAAGAATAAATTACATGAAGTTGTTTATATAAATGTATGTTGTTGGATAAACTGCAACACAAGACCGCACCTCTGAATACATCACTTAATTCTGACGACACAATCTGACTGGTTGTATCTGGTGTTGTTTTTATTTTTCACCACACCTGTTTCATTCCACTGACCACCGGTTGCTAAGTAACAATGGCCACTTTACTTTAGCCAGTTTCTTCTTTTATTCGGAAAAGAAATTTGTGTTTTATCACTGGTTACATCATCACAAATAACGAATCACAGTGATACTATCCACTATAACATCATCCCACTAGTGTTTTTAAGCACCTGTATATTGTATACCTGTATAATTTTAGCTCCTTGGTTATTCTTTGTTACTGTTTTTAAAATAAATGGTTGTATTTGGTACTTCTTAAATCAGAAGTGTTTGAATTGTGTTTCTCGATTTCCTTCCGCTGGAAAGAAAAACAGTAAAGATCAACTTAATATCTCTGTAGTTCCTCCTAGAAAACAACGAGACAAGATGGGCTTTTGCTCAAATCTCTTGCTGCTCAGATATTTCAGCTCTTGAGTTTTAGAGATCACAATAAAATAACACATGGTGCTCAGATTTGCCGAGATAATAACATTCACGTTTATGTGCAACTGAGCTAAAAGCATGAACTGAACCATTTCTTATCCAAGACTAAGAGCCTTCTCAGTTTTGATGCTATGAATAACTATTATCATTTTTGTCTGGTCCAGAAGTAGCTCGTGTTTCCTTTGTGTGTGAAATGCTGTTTCTCTTAAGGAGTTTTAGGAGAATCACCAATTCTTCAGAGCCAAAGATCCACATTTCAGCAATAAAACTTCTGCTTATTGCTCCCTGTAGCCTGTTACAGTGACTTCTGTTCACCAGCAGTGGTCCGTAGGTTGGAAAAGCATGTGTTCATTCAGTAGTTAGTAGTAGTCTGTTAGTTGTTTTTGCACATAGATTTACTTGGGACTGTTTGGTCTGCTGGGGAGAGCTGACCAATAGAAGATAGAACTGCAGTGGTTTATGACTCCTTCCTTTTATTGGCAGGTCACCAAAGCCATAGTGTACATTGAGGAAACCAACAGTATGGCCGACGTCACGTTCCCATCACTGCCACACGTTGTGTCTCTGCTGCACTATGATGATGTCACAAGGACTAAGGCCAACGCACACCCATCTGCAGGGTATCCAGTCGTGTGTGTAACGGTATGTCTGTATCCTCAGATTGACTGTCCATCATTCATACAGGGAACAGGTTTAAACTATATCTATAATTTCCACAATGAAATGAAAAATCATAGTTATTGTCACATCACATTTACACAGGTGCGAAGGTGAGTGGTGCGTAGCCCCCTCATAGAAATTAAATACAAAAAAATATATAAGAAATATATTAATGTGTATATTGTGTATATGTGTATATATTGAGAGTCTAATGTGTGTGTGTATATATATATATATACACACTATACTCTAAATATATACATATATACACAATATACACATTAATATGCACCACTATTGCACTATATCCAATGTAATTATGTACAGTTTTACACATTTCCATGTAAGCAATTAGTGAGTCTCATGTAGATAAACGAGACGCAGGATACACCGGGGATAGAATACTGATATGTACATATCCCAATTATGCAAGATATGAATAGAAGATGTGCAAGATGACCATCTATATGTATGGGAGGTAAATCCAGCCAAAAAAGAAATTAAAATTAAAACAATAAAATGTAAATGCAAACCTCTTTTTGCCATTTCTTTTTCCAATCATCTGCGCAAATATCCTGGCAAAATTGAAAATGAAATGAAATACCTACATTTGCAATTTCATTTTTCACATGAGCACGAGCCATTTTTAAATAAAAATACATTTAAAACAGTTATTTGTCATTTCATTTTAGTCATTATTCTGGTATTTCATGGCCAAATCTAACATGGAAAAGCTAATAAAGAAAAGAAAATACAAGCTTCACTTCGGCTTTTCTTCATGAAATGCAGCATACGTGTCAAAACTAAAATCAAAATGCAGTGTTTACGTTTTTATTTCTGTTTCATAGCGATAGGCTGCATATCTGACAAAATGAAAATGCAAAATGGATAAATCAACAGCAAAGTGACGCATTATGTGAAAAATGAAATTGCAAATGTAGGTATTTCATTTCATTTTCAATTTTGGCAATTTTGGTCTTTTTTGGCCGGATTTTCCTCCCATACTTTATGTGCAAGAGATTTGCTAGACTGAAGTTACAGTGAGATCACAGTGAGTCTGTTGGGAACGGTTTGTGTGTATAATTGTTTACTTTAATTATTGTTCATTCATTAAAAATCCTGTTTAGTCCCAGGCCAGGAAACCCATCCTACCATACCTGATCAAACCAGAGAACATTAAGTGCAGTATGTTTTCAGTAAAAGCTTTCAGTGACCATTCACCAAGGTTTTTAGAAACACAGGCTTTTTAAAAGTGTCCTTGAAGCACAAAGGAACAGACCAACGCTGGCCCTTGTAGTACCAATGCACAGCCATAAAATGTTCCTGAATAAGGGTCCTTGTATAAAAATCTCACAGTTAGAATGAAAAAAAGAGCAAAATAAAATCACGCAGTTCGTCATCTGAGGCGCTCTTCAGGCCTAAGGTTTAGAGTAGCCCCTTTTGTGGGGCGACTCGTTAGCAGTTTGGGTGCTTACTTCTTCAGCGTGAACAAAGAAGGTTAGAGCTTATGTGCTTGGGCCCTGACCAGGTTGTGTAGCTTAATAGGAGTGCAGAGTGGACAGGTGAATTGATTACCAGCCAGGCACAAGGGAAATGCAATAAACCCACTCACTTTGCGTAAGTGCATTACAGAGAATCGATAGTTACAGCACTCCAGAAGCCTCGTGTGTGCGCCTGTGCCTGTGATGTATTTATGCGTTTATGTGTGTCGAGAGAATTTGCTCAAGGACCGTTCTGCATCTCTGTCTGGGAAAATAAACTTCTCTTGCTTTTGTTTCTCCAGGCCTGCAACCCCAAATACCCAGAATATGACAAAACAGGCTCGATATGTTTGAGCGAGCGCATCAACGACACACTCACTCGTTACCGCTGGCTGGTCAGCGCCCCCAGCACACCAGACGGAGTGACCAGCCCCATGAGGGAGGTGGACTTCGACACTTTCTTCACCTCCTCCAAAATGATCACCCTGGACTCCATCTACTTCCAGGCCGGATCACGGGTGCAGTGCGCTGCCCGCGCCGTCAACTCCAACGGAGACGAGGGACTGGAGCTCAGCAGCCCCATCACGTCCGTCAGCACAGAAGAGGGTCAGGATGCTGTTAACATGCAAAATTGCCAGGATGTAATACAGTATAGCAGTGGTTATCAACAGTAGCCCCAGGACAACAGCCTAACTATCACTGCACAAAGCACAAAAGCGTGCACACATACGCACTTGTCTCAAAATGAATAGTGCTGTTCGTTAGGCTCTAAATGCTTAATTTGTCACAGTGCAAAACCTGTATAAATCTTAAAACTATCCCTGGAGGGCAGGCACAGTTCTGTTGCATCCATAAATTCATAAAAGGGCTTTTAAACCCATCAGCCTGATCACAGAGTTGTTGTTTCTCCAACTCCTCGAACTTCTTAGGCTTCTGCTTTCAGTTTACATCACAGGACAGCACCGGCAGGTCTGTATGGCTTCAGAATGCTCAGAAATATTAGTTTAAATTTCACAGCATGTGAGACTGAAAGGTAGATCCAAGTCTGACAATTATTCATGGAATTCAGCAACTTCCCTCTGGCTTCTGTTATACGTTTGTTTTAAGGCTCTGGGTTTTCAGATTTTTCTGTCCATGGTAATCGACCATACGTTACATCAGATAGAGATTAGATTAAAAAGACATTGGAATATTCCTTCAGTATATCCAAGGGCTGCATGATAAGAACAAGAACGCATTGCATGCCTTGAGACGGCTAAATTTGGTTTGTGTGGTGTTGATGTGTTTGTTACTCAGTGATCTGGTTGACCCACCACATTATTGTTTATTAAATCAATGCAGCCATAATAATTTATGTAAAAATACCAGATGTTTAAAATATCACAAGTGTCCAGTGTAGGATTCTCCTGTAGCAGCTGTAGCCAGTCAGCAGCCTGTCCATGTTGTCCAACCTCACACATACAAACACACACACACACACACTAACAGCAGGCCATGTAGGAGGAGAACAGAGTGAAGGACACAGCACCTCCACACTTTTACTCCCCGCAGGTTCAGCCCAACACCACATGTGTAGTATAAATGTGTGGGGGGTGAACAGAGTGAAGACACTGAAAATGGGTTATTTCATATGTTCTTCACAGAAAATGAGCAAAGACCAAGAATCTGAGGCTGAAATAATAATAAATCATATTTTATTTACCATTTTATATATATTTGTTAAGTCAGGTGAGTCATAAACACAGTACACTCCCCAGAAAGATCTAAGATTTGATCAGAATGCACACAGCAAGAAATAAAAAAATCTATAAATTCTCATTTGAAAATGTCAACCTTCTGAAATATCAGTAGTGCAAAGGCCAGCAACGATTAACAAACAGTATAATGTGAAGCCCTATTAAAAGAAAATTAGTTTCTCCTTATTTTCTTATTTCAGTTCGGTTTCCTACTTCTATCATACTGCTAAGATTTGAGTGCATAAGATTTGTAATGCAGCTATGGCACTGCATTCACAGCAACACCAATCAAATCAAGGATTAGTGTGAAAACACCCAGAGCACTCGTCAAGAACATCTGAGAATTGATCAGAATCTGTACAGCGCAGAATTAAAAACAATCTGGGGTTTGTTAGAGTGCTCATTTGCATATTTTCAGCCTTGCACAATGTCAGCAGCACAAAGAACAAAGCAGCGATGGCAACAGACTCACGACAACACGTAACAAACCGAAGATTTGTTGTTTTGGAGCTGCAGAGCGTCTTCCCCAGACTGCTTGTCATGCGGATGTGGGTTACACACTGTGACTTCAAGATGGCTCGAGGTGATAATAATTCTGAATTAGCCAGCTAATGACGTTTTTTTGATATTCCTTGGCAGGAATGTGCCAACCTCGTAAAGTGGGCACAGTGGGCGCCGAGCCGTTCTCTGCCAAGCTCCGCTACACTGGCGCAGAAGACCCGGAACATGCCAACCTCATCAAGCTTAGTGTCACCATGCCCCACATAGACGGTGAGCAAATAATACCCTGCGTGTCTGTCTGCCTGCCACCATTCATCCTCTACACAGCTTTGTTCTCCAAGCTGCACGCCAGCTAACGTTCTCCACATATCCCACAGGAATGCGTTGGTTGTCGAGGTTAATACCACCGATCAGGTATAACATCATGACCACCTCCTTGTTTCTACGCTCGTTGTCCATTTTATCAGCTCCACTTACTATATAGGTGCACTTTGTAGTTCTACAGTTACAGACTGTAGTCCATCTGTTTCTCTGATACTTTGTTAGCCCCCTTTTACCCTGTTCTTCAGTGGTCAGGACCCCCATGGACCCTCACAGAGCAGGTACTATTTGGGTGGTGGATCATTCTAAGCACTGTGGTAACACGTGTGTGTTGTGCTGGTCTGAGTGGATCAGACACAGCAGTGCTGCTGGAGTTTTAAACACTGTGTCCACTCACTGTCCACTCTATTAGACACCCCTACCTTGTCAGTCCAGCTTGTAGATGTAAAGTCAGAGACGATAGCTCATCTGCTGCTGCACGGTTTGTGTTGGTCATCCTCTAGTCCTTCATCATTGGTCACAGGACACTGCCCACAGGACGCTGTTGCCTGGATATATTTGGTTGGTGGACTATTCTCAGTCCAGCAGTGACACTGAGGTGTTTAACAACTCCAGCAGCACTGCTGTGTCTGATCCACTCAGACCAGCACAAGACACACTAACAGACCACCACCACGTCAGTGTTACTGCAGTGCTGAGAATGATCCACCACCCACATAGTACCTGCTCTGTGAGGGTCCATGGTGGTCCTGACCACTGAAGAACAGGGTAAAAGGGGGCTAACAAAGTATGCAGAGAAACAGATAGACTACAGTCTGTAACTGTAAAATGAGCGTAGAAACAAGGAGGTGGTCATGATGTTATGTCTGACCGGTGTATGTTACAAGCCAAAGAAAATACCTTTCACAGAGTTTCTGTAGAGATGATTCGAAGACAACAGAGAAATTTGCAAGTCACCTTGTCATAATCAATGCAACATCTGCTACTTTTGCGCAGGCTGGAATGTAGGCCACAAGCGAGACTGGGCCTAAAAATAGCGAGGATAATTCTACTTTACTGCACCTCTCTACTTTACAGCTGTTCATTATCTTGTAATACCATGGCAACCAGCAACACCTCCATTTGTATGCGAGATATAAGCATTCAGATCTCAGTATAGATCTACCTGTGGGGAGAGCTTTTAGAGGGCCGTTAAGATTATTCTTCTCCGCAGAGCTGTAAAGGATCATGCAGGAAAAATGTATTTGGTCATAGTTTTGTTTTGTCTTGATCCCATTAAAGTGATCTGCCTAGTTAGTAGATAGTGCTGAGACTAAAGCTCATCTGTTTTCATGCACGGTTTATGTTAATCATCCTCTGTTCCTTCATCAGTGTTCAGTTTATGACCACAGAACCACTGCTGGGTGTATATTTTTGGTTGGCAGGCTGTTCTCAACCAGCGAGACAGGGACACAGCAACGCTCCTGCACTTGATACACTCGTTTCACTGCTGTGCTGTAAATGGTCTACCATGTAGCGGTCCATCGAATAATATCTGGTCAGCAGTGGTTGTGTGACCCTTTCCATTGATGTACAGGGTAGAGAGAGGCTGATAAATTGCGCAGACACAGATGGGCTACTGTCAGTCATTTTATACCTACTATAAAGTGCATCTACAGTACTGTGCAGTAGTTTTAGGCACCTAAATAAACTGTATAAAACCATTTATCTGGGCAGTAACAATTTTTTGCTTGCAAATGCACTGCATAACATTAGAATATGTCGCTGTTGTCGGAAGAAAACCTCCTATCTCCATTTTTGTCATTTTTCTGTTTTTGACATCATTTAAAATAGCATGTTGTCCTTTACATTGTATATAAACTTCATGATGAATGGACCAAGAGAAACGGCCCAAAATGACTTGGAAAAAATTCCGGTTCCATTGACTTACATTAAAAGTAAAGTAGGTTTTTCCTTCTCCTGTAAAGTTTCCATTTTGGAGATACGAGGTTTTGTTCTGACAACAGCGATATGCAAACAAACAATACTGCAGTAAAAGTCATGAGAAATACATGTTTCCAAAAAAGTAGTTGATATTTTTCTGAGCTGGTTCAAGGGGTCGGCAACATGTGGTTCCGGAGCCGCATGCGTCTCTTTTACTGTCCTGTTGTGGCTCCACAGTTGAATCAGATTTGTAGGTAAAAATAAAATAATCCTCCTTTACAGTAAAATAAAGCTCTGCTGATCGTTCAACACAGTTTAACAATAAACGGTATTAAACTCTGGAGTTAATGTAGAACTGCTGATTCACCCTTTAACCCTGAAGATCAGCGCAGACTGCTGGTCACCATAGCTACACAGACAACAGTCTCGACTAGTAACATTAGCTAACGAAACTGCAAAGAGACAGTTACATTCTGCCACCTCAGGCACCATTTAAGGTGGAATGGGAAAATCTGAACAAGATGTTGGTAAATGAGAAGCGACTTCAGCCTCGTAAACATCCAAACGTTGAGAGACATTTTACAAGAAACTGTTCTACTTTTGTGGAAAAGTTTCCTGCCAGAGATGCAAGAAAAGCAGCTATAGCTGAGCTAAAGCTTAAAGCAGAGCAAAGTAAGTCTGTGTTTTTTTTTTATATTAAGTTACATTTTTAGCCTGTACTAGAACATCAGCACATATTGAGACATATTTACAGCCAAGATGGTAAAATGGATATAAAATTTTGCAGCTCCCACGGTGGTTTAATTTTTGTTGAAAGGACAAAATGGCTCTTCTTAACATTTGGGTTGCTGACCTCTAAGCTAGTTTGGTTCCAGATTGCTCCTTGATGCCCCCAGCTATCACAATGATTTGTTAAATTTCATTAACAGCAAACCTTATTTAGCATACAGAAATCAAACCAGGTATTCAGTGGTAACTACAAATAATACTAGGCAAATTTTTAAATGGTGCAAAAACACATTGATGTACATAAAAGAACTGCTCATGGTATTAATGTTATTTGTATTTATTCTGAGCAAAAAATGTGACCTCCCAGATAAATTGTCTTCATTTATCTCAAGCCTAAAGCTTTTACAGAGTGCTGTCTATGGTACGTGTGCCTCATAAAATGGCCAGTGAATGAAGAGATAAGTTAGGTGTACCTAATAAACAAAGGTGAGTAATTCAGATCCAGAAAGTGAAAGTCCTCCCCAGGCTTAGTTAGTTCAGACTAGGAGCTAGGAGTGTCTAGGCCAGGGGTGCACAACTCCAGTCCTGGAGGGCCGGTGTCCAGCACAGTTTGGTGGTTTCCATGCACTTAGACACCCACTAAACCTGGCAATTGAGAGATGAGTGTAATCAGGCGTGTGTGAGTAGGTAAATCACCAAACTGTGCTGGCCACCAGCCCTCCAGGCCCGGAGTTGTGTACCCCTGGACTAGACAGTCGTAGCTCCTAGTTTGAACTAACTAGAGAAGCCAGGCAGTTTTTACTTTCTGAAACTGTGCTACTCACTTCTGCTAATGAAGTGGCAACTTAGGCCCAATCCTATTTCTTCTTTTTACCCCTACCCCTTGCTTTCGAGTGTCATCCTAACCTCTTGGAACTGAGTTATAAGGGGCAGGGGTTGAAATCTTCCCTATGAAATTGGACCCTCAAATAAAAAGAGCATCACTTCATTAACAGCTACCAGCGCTGCTCTGTAGGCAACCCTGCCTGTCTGCAGTGACAGCAGAGGAGGGTAAAGTTCAGCTCCTCACTGCTGGGCTTTAGTTACATTTAGGGCATCATATGCCTTCAAAGAGGGGGGCGATTATTTATTATCGCCCACCGCTAATTCTTCAGTGATATGAAGCTGAAGTCAGATATTCACCAGCTTCTTGTTCGAATTTTCCCGTTCCACCTTAAATAGACCAGCAGTTACATTCTGACGCTTCAGGCATCAGAACTGCTGGACTATTTAAGGTGGAACGGGAAAGTTAGCTAGCTAGCTACAGAGACATTAGCATGCTATTGGCAATTTTTTATGCTTGTTATGAAGAAAACGACCAAAATACACTGAAACGTCATTAAACTAAGATAATACAGTGGTTATCATAATTTTTTAACGAAGAAAATACTTACGTTTGTGGGTTTCTTTGGTCTCTTGTTCAGCCATCTTCCCGGTTTTTCCTTTTTTTCTCATATCTCTCTGTTTGGAGTCTCTGAAAAACCTCAGTTTAGGGGATTATGTAGCCCCAACACTTCACCCTCCCCCTCTATCTCAACAAGAATCGGGACACCCTACCCCTAGACGTGAACACGCAACACAGAGGGCTAAGGGCTGAGTGGGAGGGGTGAGGGGTGAAATGGGATTGGGCCTAAATGTTCATTCAGTAAGTGGGATTTACAATCATAGATCAGTGGTTCTCAGTCACAGTCCTGGGAACCTTATGCATTACTTTTCCTGATGCAGCACGTCTGATTTCACAGGTTTATCAAGACCTTTGCAGGTTAAGTAAAGTGTGTTAAAATAGGTCTGAGTCAAAGCCGCTGTACACAGTCATAAATATACACAGACTATGCTGTTTATAGCACTGATTCTGTCTGCATCCCTCTGCATTAGGCATGCTCCCTGTGGTCTCCACTCGCCCTCTGTCCAACTTCGAGCTGACCCTGAGCCCTGACGGGAGCCGCGTGGGCAACCACCGCTGCTCTAACTTGCTAGACTTTAACGAGGTGTCCACCCGCCATGGCTTCCTGACCAAAGCCACCCGTAACATGGAGAGCGTAGGAGAGAACTCACCGTACCAGTACAGCGCCTCCCTCAGGGGCCAGAGCACCCTGCGCTTCTACAGGAACCTGAACCTGGAGGCGTGTCTGTGGGAGTTTGTTACTTATTATGACATGTCAGAGCTGCTCTCCGACTGCGGGGGCACCATCGGCACAGATGGTCAGGTAAGAACTTTTACAGTTTTTAAGAGTTAAAGTTATGCTGATCCTTTCTTCTGTTAGCGCATGAAAAAGTACCAGTTTTAGTTGGGTTCAAGCAACATTGGGGCCTCATTCACAATATCTAAGTTTTTTCTTAAATTTGATTTTGAGAAAAGTCCTAAGAAAAAGTCTGGGTCGGATTCATGACGTGTTCTTAAACCGCAGAATCGTTCGCATCTTTGCTTTTTGAGTGATCGTAGGTTCTGTACTTACCTAAGAACAAATCCCAAATAAAAAAATCTTCGTGAAAACTGCGTAAGTGGGTGTTAAGAAGAAATTTCCAGAAGCCCGCAATTTGCGGACAAAAAGGTAGGCAACTTCTAGCCTTTATAACTACAGAGCTGTTTAAGTTACAGACATGATAAACATATCAGACCATTCTGCAGAACCGGCCCTAAGTAGCTAGAGTGACGTCATCAAGCTGTGATGTCATCGAGTTGTGACGTCAGCATCAGTGAGTAATTCAGCTCGGAAAATCCTGACAGTATTGCTCTGCTTTTTGCCTTTATATTCCAACAAAGGGTTAAAACAGTGCCTTGATTCATACATCAGATCACTCATGAGACTCTGCTTCACCATCTAGAGTGATTTCATCCACCTGTGACCATCCATCAGCCAGCAATCCAGCTCCAAATTCACCCAAACCCCACTCGCTACTGTTATATTACATCTCTGCTTTTGGTCTTCATATTATAAACAAAAGGTTAGAAATAGTGACGATTTACACGCCCGAACACTCAGAGGGACCTGCCATCACTAGCCAGAGTGAGAGAAACCAGCTCTAACATCACACAACCCAGAAATACAGCACAAACACACAGCCAGATCACTGTAAAACCTGCTATTAGCTCTCTGCTTCAGCCTTTGGAAACAAAAGGGTTAAGAACGGTTGGTGAATGAGGCAAACCACACATGAGGTTTATGTGTAAAATGTGATCTACACATATATATGGAGACGTAAGGCAGGTGTACACAGACGAGTGTTGCCACAATATTGCTAACGCAGATAAGCATTATGAGAGAGTCATTGTTCGAGTTAAAACTGGTCTTAGATCAGTCTGTGATGGGCGATTGAGCCCATTAGTGAGAGAAGCTTACAACGGTTTTGCTGGTGTCAGAAATTTTTGACCATAACCTCAAAACGTGGCTGCTACAACACGTTTAAAGGCCGACCATCAGGAGAATAGAATGGGTTGATGCCCAGCTCACACCAATTGATAGATGGTCCAATGTAGAACATCATTAGAGAATCCTTACTGTGTAATTTAGCATGCAGTACACATGGATGTTAATGTTGTAGCACGTCTGCCATAAAATCTCACCAAGATTTGATTGCCATTATCTAGTACAGTGTCACATGCAATAAGCTTATAAGAGCTAACAGATTATCTCACAGTTACTGGCAGACAATGATTTGAAATGAGTGTGACAGCTATTTAAATAGACCCCAGTTCTTCTAGCTGTAATGCAGCTGTCCTAGAAGGTTTTTCCTTGAAAGTGACTTTGATGTATGATTGTTTTGCCAGCTCAAAGTGAGGCATGTGAGCCTGTAATCTGTTTTATGTGAAGCTGTTTGACGCAGAATTGAGCAAATGATGATTCTCGTTTTCTGTAATTCCTCTACATCCAGTTGTACGTATTTTCTGGCCACGATTTCAGATCATATTTCATCTTTACTTGCACGTGTCCCTCATGTCGTCTGTTGACGTGTCAACGTTGACTCTGATAACTTCCCCTTGCGCCCTTAGTGGAGCACTTAAAACGGCCATTACTGTGAGCCAGCATAGGGAGAGGCTTTAATCAGTCAATTACCTGCTGTTAGTTATTCATTGAGTTAGACGAGGAGGAGGCTACACAGAAAATAGAAGGCAAGAAAGTTCAGTGGTGTCAAAGAATAAGTAAGGAATCATTTAATGGTGGCCCAGTAGATCCACATACCTAGATGCCACATTGGGTCCAGTCAGGCACGTCAACAGTGCTGCCATTTTAGGGCGGTCAACATCGCTGCTGGACTGCATTCAGTATCATTACAGAGCAGCAGTTTAATTAAGTTACTGTCCAAAATTACACTATTTCAGGAATATTACACTCAGAAAGTGGGATAGGATTATATAACGGACGGAACGCAGTGATCCACACTCATGTCTGTGTGATGTGTATTGTTTGTGTGGTGTTTATGTAGATGTGGCCGTGTGGTTAATGAGGCACAGAGAACCTGTTGATGTGATTGTTTTTCCTCTGGTTTTATTTTAAGCTTATTTCATTTAATAGTCTATTCAGGGGGTCTTAACTTTATGTAGTAGTTATTTATTTACAATAATAGTTAAAGCTTTGTAGCTGGGTAAATTATATCATTCCTTAATCCGTGTAGATATTCATAATAGATTAACGTCAGAACCTTCTTACATGAAGCTGAAGTTAGCTTCAAATTTTCCCGTTCCACCTTAAATGGTGCAGCTTCAGGCACCAGAATGTAACTGCTACACCATTTAAGGTGGAACGGGAAAACTCAAACATAAAGCTGGCGATTAGGAAGCCAACTTTAGCTTCTTACTGTGTTTTGGGGGTTTATTTTATTTTTATGTGTATTAAGATTAGAAGTGATTCACACATTGATGGATTTGCTGATGTGTGCGAGTTTACGTTTGTACTTGCGCTAAACTCGGTTTTAGAAGGTGTCAGAACTGCTGCACCATTTAAGGTGGAACAGGAAAATTCGAACGAGAAGCTGGTGAATATCTGACTGGTGAATATCAGCTTCATATCACTGAAGAATTAGGGGTGGGTGATCATAAATAATTGCCCCCCTCTTTGAAGGCATATGATGCCCTAAACTAAAGCCCAGCAGGGAGGAGCTGAACTTTACCCTCCTCTGCTGTCACTGCAGACTGGCAGGGTCGCCTACAGAGCAGCGCTGGTAGCTGTTAATGAAGTGATGCTCTTTTTATTTGAGGGTCCCATTTTATAGAGGAAGATTTCAACCACTACCCCTTATAACTCAGTTCCAAGGGGCGACACTTGAAAACAAGGGGTAGGGGTAATGTAAGAAATGGGATTGGGCCCAAAACAGCATAATGCTGGTCTGTGCTGTTTATTTGTAGCAGTACATGGTATCGATCGAACGTTTTGACAGAATTTCTCTGCTTGTTTCAGTGATCTATGAGTGAGAAATACTAATGTCAAAATACTTTTGCTTCTGTCTTCACCGGCGATGACTGTGACTTCTAACCTTGCTGGTTTTTTGCCTGGACGCCTTGAAAATCATGATCAATCAGTTCATTCAAGTATTATAATTCCTGATCGTGATGCAACAGAAACTGATAGCCAGGCAAGCTCCAGTTGTGAAGACTCACCTTTGGAATCCGCTGCCCTGTTGGGTTCACTCTCTCTTTCACTGAAAGGGCTCACTTAAACGTCCGTTACGCCCTTTTGGTGTTAGCCGTTCCTCAGTGCACTGGAGTCCTCAGTGCTCAGTCCTCTCCTCCAGAGTGTCTTCAGTTCATTAGCTGAAGAAGATCAGTCTCAGCGGGAACAGAGGGGGGCTTATTCCTGCATCCCGTCAGTATTCCGGTTCCATATGACCCACTCACTCTGCCGTGCTCTCTCAGGATGTGAGCTGCAGGATTATTTCACGGGGATTTTCTTTCCTCTCTTGAGTAATTCCAGGCTAGCAGGTGTTTGGGCCATCCTCATTAGTAGCGGGCCGATTTTCACTGCATGGTACTTTGATTATAATTGACTATGTAAATGAGGAAATGTTTCTTTCAATCAACCCCAGATTATACTTTGAGACAGATAATCCTTTTTTCTGACAAAGCGGAGGCCATTTAATTCTTTTTTTTTTATTTTTTTTTTTAGTCTTGGCCAGACTCCAAAACTAATAGAGGGCTTTTGGTAGCAAAGTGCTGATCACTAGTGCCCTCTAGTGAGGAATCAGAGTCACTTACAGAGACTGTGAAAATATCTGTAGGACCGCAAGCATTTTATTCACGTTATTTGGTCCTTCCTGTTTGATTTATGCAGTATTTTATGCTGGTCTAATTAACATATCCACACTCTGCCCACAGATTCATTATATTGAAAACATAACTTTTTGTGAGGCTGAACAAGCTTGACATTCAACTTAATGAGATTTCGTAGCGCACAAAGGGAAAATGTGGTAGAGTGCGTTATTCATTTCAAATAATATTTATTTTGAATGTGTGTGAAAGATCACAATGTTAGGACACATCAGGTGTAGTTTTTGTTGTGTAGTCAAGCAATAGTGAGCATGTTGGCAGGATTATTAAAGCAATAAGCCACTCGAGGCAGTGGGTTACTGCGATTTTATCACGGGGAAAGGTGTTCTTTGGGTGTTCTTTGGGTGTTCTTTGTCCTAAAACTCCCTTCCCTGAGATAAAATCACAGTAACCCACGGCCTCGAGTGGCTTATTGCTTTAATAAAACGGCGGCCAACATAAAATATATTAAAATGCACAATGTTTTAGATAATTATTTGTTATTATTAATCATAACCGACATAAACAAGTATTCCGGCAAGAAATGTAGATCCTTTAGAGTATGGTATCGTTGCTAAGCAACATTGACCGCTGAATGAGGAGAACAACATTCAGTAAAACCTTTTTCGTATAACAGTGAACATATGATAACACATACATACATACATACATCATCTAAACCGCTTATCCTTCTGAGTCGTGGTGGGGTGCTGGAGCCTATCCCAGCTGTCATTGGGCGGAAGGCAGGATACACCCTGGACAGGTCGCCAGTCCATCGCAGGGCTATGATAACACAGCACTGTTTAATGTAAAAAACTTCAGTTTATAAGCACTTTTTGGTCACCAAATCACCACCGTGAGTCTCCTGCCAGTCTGACGATGCCACTTTTCTCAGGCTGGGGCTGAATCTCAAACAGCTCCCTACTTAATGCACTACATAGGAGTTTAAATACTGACTCCTGCACCCAACAGTGCAAAATCACTACACATGGTCATTTGGGATTTGTCCACATTCACACTCGACAAGCAGTCACTATTCAGCTAGGGAGTACGGAGCCGTTTGGGACTCAGCCTGGGTTTGACGCTACTTTTGACTGAAACACAGACATTTGAAGCGTGTAAGTCATTCAGGTGACATTCTTTAGTCTTTTATATTGCCGTTTTACAGTGAATCATATTGTGAGTGCTTTAATTCAAGCCTGTGATATTAATGTTGGAGTTGTTTAGCATGTTTCCTATCTTTTAGCCTGTTGGCTAGCTGACCAGCCTAGTTCTAGATAAGAAAATAAGTTTCCAGCCCCTCAGTTTAAACAAAAACGGGTTATTACCTCATCAGTACACTCGGTGCTCCTTGCGAGCAGCATGAGAATTAAAGATTAATCCATTAACAGCAGAAGGGATTTTCGTGCTGTGGCTCAGCCAATCAGATTTTAGGACCGGAACTATCCGTTTTATAAATATCCATATATATACATCCTAGTTTTGAGCCACAACTGTGTACAGTACTGTGCAAAAGTCAGAGACCACCTTTCATTTATTTAATTTATAGTCAAAATGATCATTTAGTATAAGTTTTCATTTTCAGACAACATATTTACCAGAAATTTACACAGAAAACTCAACAGAATGTTGATTTTGCAGTATTTAGTATGTCCACCCTTCGCTTTGATTCCAGCTCCCATTCTTTTTACATCTCCAAAGTTCGGTGTTAGAAGTTTGCTGTATTTTCTGCCGCTTGCGGTCGAAGTAATCCCAAACTCATTCAGTAATGCTGAGGTTTGGACTCTGAGGTGGCCAGTCCACTGTTCTGACATCACCAGCAGCTTCCCTTTTGTCTGTTTTCCTTTCTCGGTAACGGCCTCCTTCACGTTTTAAACCCATATGACTGAGTTGTCTTCTCACAGTGGGAGGATGGACAGAAACACTTGTGGATTTGTTCAGATCTGCAGCTCAGAGTGGAGCTTAGTTTTTCCCTCTCTCTCAAAGATGAAAGCTTTAAGCACTGTTTATCTAACTGGACTCCCAAAAAAGACAAACAGCTTCAGATGATTCAAAACGCAGCTGCCAGAGTCTCACTAGGAGTAAATCCTTCCACTGCCCGTTCCATTCCAGAATACACTTAAAGGAGCTGTTACTGCTCTATAAATGTCTTAATGGTGCAGGAGCAGCGTGTTTATCTGATCTGCTGCGGCGGCGATATGAGCCAATCAGAACTCTCAGATCATTAGGAACTGGTCAGTCAGTCCTGCCGAAGGTGAAGACTAAACATGGAGGAGGAGCGTTTGGCTACTGTGCTGCTCTTAAATGGACCCAGTGGACAGAGAGCATTAGAAGAGCCCCAACAGTGGACACTTTAAATCAGCCTGAAAACGTTCCTGTTTGAGCAGCTTTGAGATCAGTTTAAACACTGTTAGTGTTTCTAGCCCCTTTTAAATCTAATCTAATTATTTAACTAATCTAATTTAATTTATTTGATTTTGAATTTAATGATTTTCTCTTTTAAATGTTTTGTTTTAATCATGTTTTTTAATGTTTTTCTATTTGTGCTCACTTTACTTTTTTTAAACAACTCCGACACTTTGAATGACTGCAGTGTTTGAAAGGTGCTATATAAATAAACTCGCCTTGCCTGTCTGATGGTGATTTGGTGTTTTGGTGGTCTACCACATCTTACATGGTGGTTAGGAGTCCACTTTTCTCCAATCTTCTAATAATTTTTTGAACTCTAGTTGTGAAAAGTCCCTTTTCCCCTTTTTTATTTTGACTTTTTCCTTCTTTATGCAAGTGGATTATCTCGTATCTAATCTAATTTCTATAGAATTTGAAATTTAATATTTAGGTCTCTGACCTGTGCACAGCACTGTAGTCCAGCTTGGTAGCATAAAATCTTAAACTCGAAACTCAACACTATGCCGTGACTCTAAACTCCACTTGTGATTTTTAATTGTTATGAACGCATTCGTGGTGAAACTCCCTGCTCAGGTATTCCTGTTGTTATTGTTCTGTTTGCAGGTCCTGAATCTGGTCCAGTCCTATGTGACGTTGCGGGTTCCCCTCCACGTCTCCTACGTGTTCCACTCTCCTGTAGGAGCGGGTGGCTGGCAGCACTTTGACCTGCAGTCTGAGCTGCGGCTCACTTTTGTGTACGACACTGCCATCTTGTGGAAGGATGGAATTGGCAGCCCCCCACAAGCGGAGCTGCAAGGCAAGTTTCGGACACGTGCTTTACTGCAAGTTTAGACATATTTAACCCACAAAAATCTAAATTTCACATTATTACAATACGAATTTGCTCAAATACACTGTTTTAAGTTGTCACTGACTTTGTATCTGCGCTCACTGGTCATGTTATACCTACCATACCGGTACAATTTATAGGTGTATATACACAACACTGATATGTGATTGTGTGTTAAATTAATTTCGTGCTGACCCGACTATGATGTGTTTCAGGAGCTCTGTACCCAACTAGTATGAGGATTAACGAGCAGGGCCGTCTGGTGGTCAACTTCCGCACAGAGGCTCGCTTCAGGGGGCTATTTGTGGCCTCTCATCCTGGTGAGATTTAAACCCCTCTACCCCTTCAGGTGTTTTAGGTGATTTTTCTGCAGTGTAGCTGTAGAAATCTGAAAGATCGAAGGTGACGACCGCATGGATTTTATATATATGTTCAGTATTTCAAGCTCAAACTTGACTATTAAGTAATAATAAACAAAATTAAGAATGAATAAAATGATGAAGGGGTGATGACAACACTATAGAAAAAAACTCAACTTAATATCTGCAAAAATACTGCATTACACTGCATTTGACAGACAAAAAAAAAAGTTTAAATAAAATTAGAGAGATGGGGAACCAGCCTTGTGACCGGAAGGTCGCCGGTTCGATCCCCTGAGCCGACAGGACATGACTCAAGTGCCCTTGTGCAAGGCACCTAACCCCCAACTGCTCCCCTGTGGCTGCCCAGCACTCCGGGCAAGTGCGCTCACCAGTGTGTATGTGGTGTTTCACTGCACAGATGGGTTAAACGCGGAGGTCAATTTCCCCGTTGTGGGATTCATAAAGGGTAACTTAACATAACGTCTCTCCACACTGACGCACTCTCGCACAGAGCAGCCATACCTTTGTAAATCAGATGAGATTCATGGACATTACAAATATTAATTCTTGCAACTGCACAATGTAATTGGTTGAATTTAGTCAACAAATATGATGAATGACATCTATGTGGAGCTGTAATGTGCATTCCAGCAATGTTTCCATCATTCAATCTCAGCCAGCTCCAAGGCCTTGAATAGTCTTGTATAAGCTCAACTGATGGTTAAATTAAATGGAACGACTCTCATCTATTTCACAGTTACTTTCTCATTGGTTGGCCATCTTCCAGGCACTTTGTGTTTAATATTAAGTGGTTACAAAAATGTGATTTATGGGATTTTGTCATGGAGACGTGCGTAGATTGATGCATTGTTTCCAAGCAGAGGTACAAACTTTTAGCAATTAGTCCCTGAGTCAGGATTAGTTAACCTGGCACCAGAACTAAACCATGAGTGGGAGTATCCATGGAGGACTTGGGGGTGGGATGTCTCCATGGTATTCACGTGCCACAGAAACAAGCTAAGGAACCACATATTATTTAGGAGAGCAGCAACAGGAGAGCCACATTTTACAGCACGTCACCAAATGTCCACCCTTTTAGGAGATCTGCATATTTGCCTTCCCACAACATCCCTATAATGCAGCTCATTCAAAGTGATGCACTAACACCCTACTGTTATAATCGATGTAGCCTTTTATACTCCTGTTTGTACAGGTTTCTGTAGTGGCAGACAGCAAAAGCAATTAAAGTGAAACAAAGCTTTGCTCGTTCTGCCTCTGCTTTTGCCGTTCAAATTGCAGCGAGTTATGACAAAACACCCTGAAGCCAGGCCTGGCTAACTTATTCTACTAGATCAGGGGTCGCAACCCAAATGTTAAGAATTATTTTGTTCTTTCAACAAAAATAAAACCATCTTGGGAGCCACAACATTTTATGTCCATTATGTCCACCTACTAGTATGGGCTAAAAATATAATCAAAAACACAGACTTACTTTGCTCTGCTTTAAGCTTTAGCCGCTTTTCTCACATCTCCAGCAGGAAACTTTTCCGGAAAAGTAGAAGTTTTTTGTAAAATGTCTCTCAGCGTTCAACTTTTTGAGTGTTCGACTTTTTTCCTCATTCACCAGCTTCTTTTTGAATTTTTTCGTTCCACCTTAACGAATGTAACAATGTAACTGCTGCACCTTTTAAGGTGGAACGGGACAATTCCAACGAAAAAACTGACTTCAGTTTCGCGACTTTTTGTGTTTGTCAGTTTCTCGTTACAGATTACACGTATCAGAAAATCAGCTATAGTGATTATAAATGTAAAGAAGTCCACTCATCTCCAAATACTTGATGTTTGTCAAATCTTTCTCTGTGTTTTTTTGTCATTTTCCTCATTTTACAATAACATTACACATATTAAACGATACAGTTAACAATAAATATGAAACCATTTGTGGTTTATAAATGGCTCAGTCACACTTTGAGTCAAGTGTACACTCATTTTTATAAATCAAAAGTGTGCAAAATGCTGAGAAATGAAGAACAAACTTCTTTTATTTAAGAAAAAAAATTCATGTAACTTTCATAAATTAACCATGTTGTTGGCCACCAATCATATATATATATATACATACATACATATGACTATGGACATACTCATATACACTATATATATATATATATAATCATATATATAATTTTGGGCTGTTTCTTTTGGTCCATTCATCATGAAATTTAGTATGTAAAGGGCAACAGGCATTTTCAAATGATGTCAAAACCTGAAAAAGCAGTTCACAAAAATGGAGAAAAGAAGTTTTGTTCCAACAACAGTGATATATAACTTATAAATATATTGTGCATAGTTATTACAGTATGGTGCGTGCAGACTTGTATCAGTGTTGTTTCAAGTCTTTGCCAGCTCCAGAGTTGTCTGGTTGTAGGACTGAAAGATTAATCGGTTTTATACTGAAATTGCATTTTGAAAGAGTGTAATTTTTCAAATCGCAAGAACTTCAGTTTTAATTATGGCCTCAGTCAATGGATCATCATCAATACTGTCTTAAGTTTTAAGTGGGGAACTTAACAACATTAACTTAACAACACTGTAAGCAATCAACGACCTATGTTTACATGACAATACAACTACAACTTAATGGCAGCCTGGCGTACTACGTTCAGTGTTCAGGCCTCCAGCCAGAAAAGCTGGTCAAAATTACAATTTATAGAAAATTTTTGCAAATCACAATATTGGTCAGAAAAATCAAAACTAGAATTCTTCCCTAAACCATTCAGCCCTACCAGTTTGCTTATGACCTGGATTTTTTTCAGCAGGAAATCTGCAAGGCTCTGAGAATAAGACGTGTAATTAGTCTGCTGAAGTAGAAGCTTAGAAGCATTTGCATGCTGCACTTCAAAGCACTCTTTTCTTTGTTCGATGCTATGACTTTATCTTTTCTTCTTTGACCCAGCATCTTCTTTGACATCAATGGTCATGAGTGCAGACCACCCTGGTCTGACCTTTAACCTCTCATTGGTCAGAACGGAGCCCACCTACAACCAGCCTGTGCAACAGTGGACATTCACCTCTGACTTTGCTGTGAGTGGGAATTATTTTTAACTTGTTTCTTTTACATAAGTCGATGCACTTCAATTGAACGATGTTGCCTCAGGGCAACAAATTCATTTTCCTCACTTTACAATAACATTATACATATTTAAGGACAACGATAGGGTTAACAATAAAGGGAAGAGTTTGAGTAAGTCAATAAAAAGCATGTACTTGGTATATATACACTATATGTTAGTGGGCACATTTGAACCTCAATTTTAACATTATCATTTTTTTTGTTATGAGAATTTGCAGAAATGTTTGTTGTCTAGAAGCAACACTGTGTGACAGCGGAATGGATTTAGCCAGTCACAAGTCAGGTCTCACCACTTTAGGGAACATGGCTCTGTATCATTTCTTCCCAATGTCGCACAATGTTGCCTCAAGGCAACATACTCCAAAAGGACCTCTACACACGTTACTTTCTATTTATTTATGTTTTTGAATTTAATAATCCCTCTATTGCATAATGTTGCCTCAGGGCAACAAAGTCATTTTTCTCATTTTACAATAACATTACACGTATTTAAAGACAACGATAGGATTAACAATTATCAATAACAAGCATGTACTTGGTCATACTCTCTCTTTTTTTTGTTATGAGAATTTGCAGAAATTTGTTTGTTGCCTCAATGCAACATACTCCAAAAGGATCCCCTGCACACAATTTTTTTTAATTGTTTTTTTTAATTTAATAATCAAGTCCAAAAAAATAAATCAAGGACCATTTTATTGCAAGAAAAGTGAATTGAACTTTTTTTTTATTGCTCTTATAATGCATGCAGTAGAGGGTTAATTGTTCCATGCATGCCTAAAACTTACTTAAGTACAGACCACTTTTAAAGCTATAGCAATAGTTTTTGCATTTTCCTTTGCCTCAAATGTGCTCACGCGTAGTCTGTTAGAAACATACTAAATGTGTGTTGTTCTTGCATTACTATGGGCATATTCCTCTATGTGTGACAGCTGTGTTCCTTATTACTGCATGTTATAGGTGCGTGATTACTCTGGCACATACACAGTGAAGCTGACCCCCTGCACCACAGCCCTGAACATCGAGTACTCCGTTCCTGCAGTGTGTAACCCCAGAGAGCCCATCACTTTCGATCTGGACATTCGGTTCCAGCAGGTATAGTTAAACAGTAAAAATATGCCGGTTTTGCTTTATGCTTTGTGTTTCTTAACCATAAATATACTGTTGTAGGAAAAGTACATCAGCAGAGTCCATATTTATTCAGGATTATTTATTGAATATTATACAACAGTTCGGCCACGCAAGCTGATTGGTTGAGAAGCACTATAGAAGCAATAGAACACTCGAGGAGTGTGTTATCGCCAATAACATCACGGCTGTGATGATCTACTGCGACCAAATCACAGCCGTGATGTTATTTCGCGACAACACACTCCTGTGTGTTCTACTGCTTAAATAAATCTTAAGACCAAGACAAGAAAATATGTGCAAAACAGGAAGACAGGAAACACAGCGTATAAACAATGACATGATTAAACTGCTGTTTGTGTTGTGCAAATAAGTGACGCAATGAAGATCTGGCAAGCTTTAAGGTAGTTTTATTACCTTTACTTCGTAGGTGCTGGTTAGAGATTTTACTACAGGGGATATATTAATAACCCAGCGTTATTATCTATTATCGATGAACAATGTTCAGCATGACACATTTCATACCTTCCACCGCTTCCTTCTACTCCGTAGGTGAGTGACCCTGTTGCTGTGGAGTTTAGTCTGAACACGCAGATGTTTCTGCTGTCTAAGAGGTCTGTGTGGCTGTCTGATGGATCCATGGGCTTTGGGCAGGAAAGCGATGCAGCTTTTTCAGAGGGTACGTCCACAGGAACTCATTCATTGATGGGATTTTTCACCTGTTGGGGCCTGAATAAAGAGAAGTTAATAAGTTAAAAGTTAACGCTTAAAAAAACCAAAAAAAAAACCACACAAAAAAAAAACACCTGGCTTATTATGGTTTACAGAGATATACAGCAGTAATTTGCATTTTTTTTTGTTTTAATATACAGGGTGATTCAAAAAGATTCATCCGATTTCAAAATGATTCATTTCACTTGTAAATCATTACAGAACAATGCAGTGAACTGTAAATGGTTTAAGGAGCATAAAGTTTATTATGTAATTTTATAAGTGCTCAATATGAACCTCCTCCAGCTGTACAGACAACATCAACGCCATAGTCAAATTCATCCCATACTGGATTGAGTATGTCGGGTGTCGCTGCACTCACGGCTCTTTCAGTGCGATTTCGGAGATCATCCAGTGTTGTGGAACCAACGACGAACGCTCTGAGCTGTTGGAGGTTCACTGCCCACGAAAATCACGTTGCAGTTATGACGGATTCACTCTTATTGAAGTAGAGAACGCAGAACGCTTTCTGCTCAGGGGTCTCGTCTCCTCACAGACTGAAGGGAGCCATCTTCCACTGACAGTCAGAAACTCTATGACCCCCTCTTTCAATTGGTGTGTGATTGGTTCCTACTAGGGGTGGGGGGGAAATCAATTCTTAGATGCATCGCGATGCGGACGTGAATGATTCTGAATCGATTCACATATCAAAAATCAATTTTCTAAATTTTAATTTATAATGTAATGTTGACGGAACGCAAAAGGCAGGACTTGGAAATGCGGAAGTGCAGTGCCCGGACAGTCTGTGGCGGCACATAACAAAAACACAACTGGATGAGCGAGAAATCCGACCGGCTCCCTCTGCATTAAAAGCCAGGTTAGGTCAGGAGTCACAACACAAATGTTAAGAAGAGACATTTTGTCCTTTCAACAAAAATCAAACCACCTTGGAGCCACAACATTTTGTCTAATATGACTCAGTATGTGATGTCCTAATATAGATAGACTAAAAATAGAAACGAAAACACAGACTTTCTTTGCTCTGCTTTAAGCTTTAGCTATAGCCGCTTTCCTCCCATCTCTACCAGAAAACTTTTCCTCAAAAGTTGAACAGTTTCTTGTAAAATGTCTCGCAACGTTCAACTGTTTCATGAGGCTGAAGTCGCTTCTTATTTGGCAGCTTCTTGTTTGGAACGGGAAAAATCGAAAGCTGACTTCATCCTCGCAACTTTTTGTGTTTGAGAGTCTCTCATTGCAGATTTAACGTACCAGGAAACCAACTGTGGATAAGTCCATTCGTCTCCAAATGTTCGCCTTAAATCTCTCTCTTTGCCGTTTGGTTTGCTACTAGCTCGGTGAGACTGCGGCGCTTATGACCTGCAGTCTGCACGCCAGTTCTCAGTCGTTGAGAACAAGAGCTTTCGCGCTATGCTGCACACTTTGGAGACAAGATACAGCTCCCACTCTCTACAACGGGACAAAAAACGAAATTATAGAATCACGCAAGAAAACGGGCAGGTCAGCTGTAACACCTAGATGCTGCGTGGACATCTACTGCCACTGGATCTTATTTCACCATAACTGCGCATTTTATCACAGATGAGTGGCAGCCAGTGTTTAATGTGCTCCAAACAAGAGCAGTGAATGAGAGCCTTCCAGTTCACTTGCTACATCACTTCCATTTGATTTATTAATAAAAGATATTGGAAGTAAATTCATTATGGATCATCACAAATACTTTGCTTTAAAAGTACCAAGTTCTCACAGTGAGAAAAAAAAGAAGTCCTGTATAGAAAAAAAATGCATCAAGATGCATCGATAATCATTTTAGAATCGCATCGCAGCCTCTGAATCATAATCGCATCGAATAGTGAGGTGCCTAGAGATTCCCACCCCTAGTTCCTAGGCACCTCACGGTTGTAAAAATATGGCGCTTTAAATCGGATGAATCTTTTTGAATCACCCTGTATTTCTGATTGTGCAGTTTATTGGCCAGGATGTGAATGCAGTCGAATGTGTAGTTTCTCAGCTGGAATTGTTGTTCTAACTACCTTGAATAGCATGTGCTGACTTCCGGAACATTTTCTCTTCTTCTAGGAGATATAATCTATGGACGAGTGATGGTGGACCCAGTCCAGAACCTGGGCGACTCCTTCTACTGTAATATTGAGAAGGTTTATTTATGCACTGGAGCAGATGGATATGTTCCCAAATATAACCCCACCAAGTTCGAGTTTGGCTGCTTGGCAGACTCCCCCTCCCTACTCTACAGATTCAAAATTATTGTAGGTGCTTGAATATTATTACACATTTATATAAACCTAAATAAAAATCATGAAGCTTGCTTGCTATGGTTTTTAGTGATAAATAGACACACCTTTATATCTGGCAATTACAGAACATGCTTACATGATGTGGAATGTTGTGCTGCATCGGAACAAAGTCACCAAAAATGATCTAAAAGACGATATATAATCTTGTGAAGTGTTATAATGAGACAGGGTTTATCTTTCATGTATTTTTCCATCTGTTTTAAGGATAAAGCACAGCCAGAGACTCAGGCTCAGAGTTTTGGTGATGTGGGCTTCAACGCTCTACTGGCAGTAGATGACCCGTCTGCCATCTCTCTGGTGAAGCAGCCTGGCTCAGATGGCTTTAGACTAGACTCTGCTCCCCTGTTCCAGGTTTGCACCTCTTCTGCTGTCTCAAAATATATTAACAAAAAAATTACATTTAACACCACAGGAACACAGCAGTCTCTGATACTGACTGTGTAATTACACTCATTGTCAAAAAAAATAGTTGCACCCAGAAGGAATCAACCAACAGGAATGAAACTTGGTGGGTAGGTTTGACATCGTGAGACATTCAAATGATTCAAGTTTCACGCTCGGCTGCGCATGTAAGCAAGGACAGGCCTTACTGCTGTACCTGGCTGACTATAAAGTCTTCCTGTTGCGCATGCTTTCCATTCTGACTCGTGCTGTTGTGTTGGTAGCATCCTTTGCGAGCGAAGTCTGCCTCGGAGAAGAGTTTGAAAGCAATTCGAGCATCATAGGGCTCAAGGAAGCGGGATGGTCTTGTCGATGTATTGCGCACCATACCAGTCGTGCGGATGTTACCACAGCACGCTGTTGGCGGCAGTGGATAGAAGAAGGCACGCACCAGCGGAGTGACCCAACAGCCACGATTGCGGACATTCAGTGAGCAGTGATGCCCTCCATGAGTCATCCTGTTAGTGCCAGCACCGTTGGCAGACGGCTGCACGATGCAGGACTACATGCATGCAGAACATTACAATGACTGCCCTTAACACCACGTCAGCGTTGCCAAAGACTGCAATGGTGTCGTGCCAGACTGTCATGGAGTGACTCCGAATGGCAGCGGGTCATCTTCAGTGATGAGTCCCGCTTCCGTCTTGGTGGAGAAGACCGATGAATCCGTGTGTGGAGGCACCGTGGTCAGCGCCAAGGTGAATGGTTTGTTGTCATGCGTCACTCATCCAGAAGGCCTGGTGTTGTGGTGTGGGGTGCAATTTCGTACAAAGCCAGATCACCTTTGGTCTTCATTACAGTCACTTTGACAGCCCAACGTTACGTTAATGAGGTCCTGCAGCCAGCAGCCCTACCCTTTCTGAACACACACTCCGGTGTGCTATTCCAGCAGGACAACGCTTGTCCACAGACTGCTGCCGTCTCTGGAGCCTGCCTTGATGACAGAGATACTCTGCCATGGCCAGCTGCATCGCCAGACCGATCCCCATTTGGAAATGTGTGGGATGCTATTGGACTTGCCATCAACGCACCAACCCTACCGCAAAATCTGCAGGAACTGAGTGAGAATATTCAAGCTGCATGGGATGGATTATCGCAGGACACCATTGGGACCCTCTACAACTTCATCCCGAGACGTCTGGCATGTTGCGTTAGCAAACATGGCGGCCCAACGCCAAACTGAGAGACACTACTTCTGTAGGTGTAGCTCAATAAATATCACCCAGTCTACATTTTTAATAATTTATTGTTCCTGGTAACCTTTATCTTCCTTCTGAATATCACTGCAATCCGACACTTTCTTTTGGATGCAGTTAATTTTTTTGACGATGAGTGTTAAAAAAGCTTAACACACCACATACTAAATATATCTAAAAGTAGCACAAAGGCTGGATCGGAAATGGTTCCCTATTTGCGTTTTAGGGCACTATTAGGTATGTTTTCTACGGCTATGAATGAAAAGCCAACTTCAGTCTCGTTCATTTCTTTATGTGTCTGATAAATACTGTCGGTGGCTAAAGGTCCAAATTCATTTATTGACTTGTGTTTTTACCCTGTTTACTAATGGGAGAGGGGGAGGAATCACACTGCAAAAAACGTTATCTTGTCAAGTACAATTATCTTAAATATAGTCAATAAATCTAATGTTTCTCCTGTTGAGATTGTTGCAAGCTTAGTTTAAGATTCTTTACCTTAACTGTAGACATTATTTTACTTGATTTAAGTAAAAACTAGTGTATAATTTTATTACGGCAGATAATTTTGCTTGTTTTAAGAAATGTGCTTGAAGCCAGCTAAATTATCTGCCAACGTAGTGAGACCATTTTACTTGACAAAATTACCTAAACAAGTAAATAATGTCTAGAAATTAGCTGGATAATCTTATAATAAGTGCACAACCATCTCAAAATGGGAAACAAGATATTTTGACTAGATTTGAAATCATTTCATTTGACAAGATCCCATTTTTTGCAGTGCACTTATGGCTAAAATGTGTTGTCATTAATTGGATGTGTTGAAAAACATAATATATTTATATCACATATGTTTTGAAAATGTAAAAAAGGGGCTGTTATAAATATTTAATTCAATTCAAGTCAACTTTGTCACTTTACATATGGGGGTACAGCATCTGTATGCTAGCCATACTAGCTAGTAATAATACAATAATACAGACTAAAAAAGCTGATTCATTTTATTTTAGTACAAAAAAATGGTAAGGCTAAGTTGTATGACAATTAGATGCTGGTTTAAGCTTCTTCCTCCTCTATCAGGTGGCAGCAGGCAGGGAGTGGTACATCCATACCATCTACACTGTGCGCTCCAGAGACAATGCCAACCGCGGCATTGGCAAGAGAAGCCTGGAGTACCACTCCTTCATGGCGGGCGCCACGCTGCCCTCAGCTCCGAGCGGCAGGCACAGCAGACGCTCTGCCAGAGACGTCCCTGCCATCGCAGAGGAGATCAGTGCCGAGAACAACAGAGGAACCAACATCATGCACATCGCTTTGGACCGCAGCCACAGGCGGGCTGCACCAGATGGAGAGCTGTTTGCTGACAGCCTGGCTCCACAGGGCCTGGGCAGCTACAGTGCTGAGGACAAAGCAGTGACAGTGGTGGGAGCTGTAGTGGGGCTGCTGCTCGCTGTCCTTCTTATGGCCATCCTTGTCCTGGTGGTACGATCTCAACGGAGGCCAACAAAGCAGGCACCAAAGGTCTCCTCCAGCATGCAGCCTGTTATACTGAGGAGCGGCTTTGACTGCAGCGATAGTTCAGAGGTCTGAAGGCTGGAAAATGTATCCCTGTCCTGATTCCTGTGCCGTCTCGGATGAGTCCACCGTCTCTTGTTGTGGTTTAACAAGTGCCTCAGACAGATCCAGTCCTGTGGAGAGCTTACGGACCAAAATCACGCCCAGCCCAAAGGAATATCCATCCGCATCTTGACAGCGAGTGTCAGGTTGAATGGTACTGACTTGATATCCCAATGCTTTACTGTTCCACTCGGAGCCAGGTATTACGCTCTACCACTTTCTGATTCACTAAGAGGTGTTTCGGGATAGGCTACAACTGTTTAGTATATTTTTAAGGCTGTTGACGAGAAAGAAGTACCTGCTGACGGTCGGGACATACACCAATCAGGCATAACATTATCCTTGTTTCTACGCTCATTGTCCATTTTATCAGCTCCACTTACTATATAGGTGCACTTTGTAGTTCTACAGTTACAGACTGTAGTCCATCTGTTTCTCTGCATACTTTGTTAGCCCCCTTTTACCCTGTTCCTCAGAGGTCAGGACCCCCATGGACCCTCACAGAGCAGGTACTATTTAGGTGGTGGATCATTCTCAGCACTGCAGTAACACTGACGTGGTGATGGTGTGTTAGTGTGTGTTGTGCCGAGTGAGTGGATCAGACACAGCAGTGCTGCTGGAGTTTTTAAACACCTCAGTGTCACTGCTGGACTGAGAATAGTCCACCAACCAAAAACATCCAGCCAACAGCGTCCTGTGACCACTGATGAAGGACTAGAGGATGACCAACACAAACTGTGCAGCAGCAGATGAGCTATCATCTCTGACTTTACATCTACAAGGTGGACTGACAAGGTAGGAGTGTCTAATAGAGTGGACAGTGAGTGGACACAGTGTTTAAAAACTCCAGCAGCACTGCTGTGTCTGATCCACTCCTACCAGCACAACACACACTAACACGTCAGTGTCACTGCAGTGCTGAGAATGATCCACCACCCAAATAGTACCTGCCCTGTGGGGGTCCATGGGGGTCCTGACCACTGAAGGTGCACCTATATAGTAAGTGGAGCTGATAAAAATGGACAATGAGCATAGAAACAAGGAGGTGGTCATAATGTTATGCCTGATCGGTGTATTTTGCCTTTATATCACAAGTTAAATCATTCTAAATTGTATGCAACATATAAATGTTACTTGTAATGGGATTACATACTTAAAATACAAAAAACGGCTTTAATTGTTTGATGATTACAGTATTTTACAGTGATATTAAGTTTAAAAGAAATAATTCAAGATGACATTGGGAGCTTTGCTTTCCCTCAACAGAACATATTAGCAAAATAAAGTAATTTCAAAAATCTTAAATATCACTGTCACGGAAATCTGTAGGGAGGCATTTTTTGGCATTTTTGCATAAAAGCATACTTCTACTGTAAGAATGTTGGACTATTCAAACAAAAGTGAGTCAGAAAGTTAGTCATAAGAAATTAATAAACAGAAAACCAAATTCTCTTGATTCTCTACATTATATTGCTCGTCATGGCCAGTAATAAGTTTTAAGATCAGGTAAAACTGCGTCAGAGAATTCTGTTTCTTGGTTGTTCTGATGATCCCAGCTAGCCTGGTCATTGTGCGCAAATGTCAAACTGTGAGTAGAGGACACTGAATACCTGCTGCAAGTGTATTGTTTACTTAGCGTGGTGTCACAAGCCATACACATTTTACATTAATTTTATATTCAATCATAGTGGACCACATCCTATATGTGCTGCTGTTTTTTTTACTGTGTTCTCTTGACTTTTTAACAAGTGTGTCATGTTGTTCGTGAGGGGCATGAGTGTGTTGCTGTTGCATGTATTACACATTTCAGATTAAGCGCTGATCGAAGATCAGTTTATTATGCCAGAGGTGGGTAAAGTAGCTGTTCTATTAAACGACTTCAGTAGAATTAGCATCAGGATATAACCCTTGTGTGGTGTTGATGTGTTTGTTACTCAGTGGTCTGCTGGACCCACCACAGTATTGTTTTTTAATCAATACAGCCATAACAATTTATGTAAAAATACTAGATGTTTAAAATATTACAAGTGTCCAGCGTAGGGTTCTCCTTTAGCAGCTGTAGCCAGTCAGCAGCCTGTCCATGTTGTCCACCCTCAAACACACACACACACACACACACACACTAACAGCAGGCCATGTAGGAGGACAACAGAGTGAAGGACACAGCACCTCCACACTTTTACTCCCCGCGGGGGGGGTGAACAGAGTGAAGACATTGAAAATGGGTTATTTTATATGTTGAAATAATAAATTTTTTTTTTTCTTTTGGTAAACATTGAAAATGGGTCCCAGAGACCAAAACACCACGCAAGGGTTAAAACCTACTCAAGGATCCTTATAGAGCTGCAGTGGAACTTGGTATCAGTCCATGTGCCCTGAACTGGAATGTCATTAGCAATTCAGTGTAATTCAGGATTACTTTCGTCCAAACGTGTCCAGACACCCCTTATAATTAGTGAATTTAGCTACATTAAGATGCACCCATTGCTGACACAGGTGTTCAACTGTGCACACACAACTTATATGATCTAAATAGAAGAGCACTGCCAATGTAATGGGATGCTCTGGAGCACCATGCCCAATACCAAGCGTCAGCTAGAGAACTGCATTCTCTAGAGTGATGCACCTTTGGGTTGAGTTGGACTGGACTTTGTGATCCATAACTACTCATCCAACATTAGTACCTGACCTCACTAAAGCTCAGAAGTACAAGTCCATCAAAATTGTACCTAAATTCATGGCACTGTATTGCTGCTGTTGGAAGAAAACCTCGTATCTCCAAAATGGTAACTTTACAGGAGAAGGAAAAAACCTACTTTACTTTTAATGTAAGTCAATGGAACCAGACGTCTTTCCAAGTCGTTTTGGGCCGTTTCTATTGGTCCATTCTTCATGAAGTTTACACACAATGTAAAGGGCAACAGGCATTTTCAAATTATGTCAAAAACTGAAAAACAGTTTTTCTTCTGGAGGTTTTCTTCCAACAGCAGTGATATATTACCCACCTCTGGTGATTGTCCACTGTATCTCAGTATCTACTATCATACGAAGCAAGTGCTGACCAAAACCACTCTTGATCTGAGATACATATGGACTCTGAATTAGAAGAGAGTAAAGGTGTGAACAGTGAATGTGACTCAGGTATTCAGATTGTTGAAGCAACTACTGTATATCCTTCATATAGTGGACACTGAATATAACCACTACAGTATTCGTTTGTTTAGTGTAAACACACACATGTTGCTGCTGTCTGATTTTTGTTGTTGTCTGCATGAATATCGGACCTCATCCATTTTGTCTCTTGGAAATTGTCTCATTACACTCATTTCCAATATTTTTATGGAACTGTAATAGATTATTCATGGGTCATTCTACAGAAACATCCATTTTTGTGTCCCTAGCATTTACAGATATATAACACTTGAAAAACACGTTGGGGTTACAGTTTATTTATATATATAAAAAAAAAAAACCTTATTTTAACTATTACACCTTCTTGAGCCTCAATTTAGCAATAATGGTTTTTAAATCAATCACACAGAATTCCAAGCACCACAGAAGAGCTCGTCCCCACAGTCATGTGTAAAGGCTGAGGCCATATTTTAAAGTAAAAAAATGTTTTTCTGCAATTTTAACTGCAATAATCTATACATGACTATGAAATATATTATTTAAATGACAGAGAAAACAAATGCCAAATAAATATTCTAAAATATATAATTAAAGTTCCCCAGGAGTCGTGTCACTGGTGTTAGCGCGTAACAAAAATCTCTTATTTTGAAATAAAAGTCACACTGATGACACCACTTGACTTCCTTTTACCTGTTTTCTGAGGATCTATGAAGAAAAGCACATGGTGAGTCCACTGTGTCTTTCAGTTATCAGAGATTTTCTCATTTAGCTCATGATTTCATATGAAGCTTTTAGCTGAAGTCACTGGTGTGACCGACTTTATTCTGAGGTAATTGTGAAAAAATAGAATAAAAAAATGGATTAAATTCCATATTTTAGTGGATATTCCATGATTGACAACATGTGGTTTGATGCTCTGTAGCAGCCATTTTGTAAAATGCATTTTTCATTAAAATGTCTCTGGTGTTACCTTCATTATGTGTAACACCAATGAGGATCGGTAACACCAGTGACTCCTATGGACAGACAGAAAAGTGGACGTTTCTGTAGAACGACCCTTAATCTTTTTCAATACTGTACACCAACTATAAAAAAGAGAAATGCTTGTGCTAACGTCTGTGTACACCACTGCATACACTTCTGAAGTTACGGATCTTGTTGCTAAACCTAAATTGAATAAAGATGAATCTCCTTTTTTGCAACTCCCTCCTTATGAAATACATTCCTTATATTACAAATAGATGTTCTATGCAATGCAGTTAGTAGAAGACCAACAGTTGTACCCAGTTTTCTTTTTCATTTCAATACTTGATTTGTTTGTTCCATAAAGGCACTGTCAAGTGAGATTACAGAAATGAACACTTAAGATATAAAATGTCTTTTTATGTAAGCAGATGTGTTTATGGTGCAATGTTGTGTTTGGAAATGTTCACTGTATAATATTTCCAATGATCTGTACGACTTTTTGTAAAACGTCTGGAAGCCACAAATAAAATTACTTTGGAAAAATATCCAAACGTATGGAGCGATTTCATGATCTGAGTCGGTGATGGTGGTGAATTCACCACTGTCAGGTGTTGGTATGGTCCACATATGCACCCAGATAGTTGTTTATAATATTTGGTCACACTTTATTGGGATGGTCTCCTATTGATGCTCTACAGCTACTTAAATCATTAAACTTTCTGGTGATCCTCAGTTGATTATCAACAACATTATGGTTGGGTTAGGAGTAGATGTAGCTCCCGAGTGGCGCAACCGTCTAAGCATGGGCCCCATCTTCAGGAGATCGCGAGTTCGATCCCTGGTGACGCTACAGCCATCCGTAGCCGGGAGTCCGAGAGAGCACAACTGGCCTCGCTCTCTCTGGATGGGTGGGATGGTCCCTCCTTCTCCCCTCATCACTCAGCGCGATGCTAGTCAGCGCAGGCGTCTGTTAGCTGACGTAACAGATCTGGCGGTTGGCGCTTTCCTCCAGTGACGTTGCGTGAGCAGCAGCTCGAAAAGATGCGGTGGCGCTTCACAGGTCTCGGAGGAAGCCTGTGTTAGCCTTCACCCTCCTAGCGTTGATAGTATCGTGTGATTGGGGGAGTCCTAACTAGCGGGTGGAATTGGAGACGACTAAATTGGGGAGAAAATCGGGTAAAA